TGTTTCCATTTAAAGCTAATATACAGGAAAGTTTTTGTGTTGAGACAAAAGTACAAAGGCACATGGAATAAAGTATAAAATTGTATATATGACTACACAGTAAAGATAAAACAGCACACCTCAAGATTTGCTTCACCAGAATTGTCATTGTCATCCTCCTTTACTATGTCAGAGCAAGAATCTTCTTCTCCTTCTGCCTAATAAAGAACAAGTTAATATTCCAAGTCATTATTCATTACTATCCTAAAATCACAGATACTAACAAAAAATATTAGAGATGGTCCATTTTAATCAGTTGCTCAGACATTTGCAATGTTAATGAAAAACCCTAAACGACTTATGTTACCTAAGTTACTGCTTCAATATAGGCCTGATCAATCCTTACATTCATGATAGGAAGTCTTAGTAATTCTATGACTTACTGAAATTCTTTTAATGATGTTATAGAGGCAGGTGTTTCCTGTGGTATATCCACTTTGGGAATAAATTGATTTTGAAGATTAGGAAATCTTCCAGTGCAAAGGTTTTGCCATGACCTGACAATGTATCTATTCACCTCTTGATTTTACTTGTCATAGTGACTGTTGATTTTGTTAGTTTTAAGGATATTTTTATTGCTTCACTTAAAATTTCAGAACTGTTTCAGGTGTTTGAGGTTTGCATTATCACAACGTAGGAAACTCAACAAATATTTCTGATGTTCAGTGTATATGCATTCAAAATTTGCCGGTATACTACTGGAAAACTAATTCCTTCTAAGATGGAGCAAAATTGTCTTGAGGCCAACTCTATAATCCTGCTGACAAAATAGTATCCACTAGTGGCATGGATGGGAGATTGCAAACCAAACATACTTTTTGGAGCTATTGCTTTGATGCCCTACTACAGAGTAATCTTCCAAAAGACCTCCTTGTTATCTTTCTAAATAGGTAGATTCATACAATAAGAAACGGAGTACCTCAAATAATCAAGCCCATTACAAATCTTTCACTACAAGTACTGTCTGATCTTTGTACCTTGTATCAGATAGCAGCCTATCTATTGCATTTTTGCACCAATTGCTATTTTCAAGTACTCTTCAAGGACAGTCATAAAATAAACATATTGCCAAACTCAAGACAGGTTATAACCAAAGAATGGATCTGTTATGTAATAGCCTTCACCTGCAGATTCAGGATTGCTGTCAAATGGCAAATCTGCTCCTCTTGAGGGAGAGCAAGCTCATCCAAACAGGTTTTACCACATGGAAAGTCCAGCTTTCTGTTTTCAAAAAGCACCTTTGTTTTGTCTGGATTTAATTTCAACTTGCTCTCCCTCATTTCTGTTATCAAGTTTAATGTTGAAGAAAGCTAACAGCTTCCTTGGAACTAGATGATAAACAATAACAGTACATTCCTGATTTTAAAAACTGTTCAGTAAAAACGCCCATACAATCTGATGTTGCCCCACTCCCATGCTTTTCACTCTCTATATAAAGAGAATATTGTGTTGCAATTATTTTATTTCTATGTAAAACTGTCCCACTTCTCAGGGCTTTCTATGAACTATTAATTTCCATGAATTTACATTGTAATACTTTTCAGGAAGCAGGGGAACAGAGGCAATCAAATTTATATACTTTACATGACCAAAAAGTTTTAACACAGTTTAGATTTGATTTGGCACAGTATGTAAATTGTAATTTGTAAGCTATTGTTTTGGTATTTCTTCAAGACTGATGCCTAAAGAGGCTACGTGCAGATTAGATCCTTGCTCTTCAATGTGAACTTCTAACAAGAACTGGAGCACATGGATTCAGCTGATAAATCAATGCACTGCTAAAAGAGGAGGGGGCAATGCCTTCAGCCATTAAAGAAACTGTTCTCTCTTCTTAAAAAATACTTCCCTGGCTGGATCCACCTATCCAATCTACTACTGCTTGAAAAAGCCACAGAAACGGTAGCTAGGCTTCAACTACAAAAGGGTCCTGGATGAGACAGATTATCTGGATCCTTTCTAAACAAGATATGAAACAGAGCACTTGTTTTTGTAGATGCAACTTGAAACAGCTGTGATGCACTCTCCTTTCCTGTCGACCTCTCTGCAAGATTCAGTTTCATAACATGGTATCTTTTTGAGCTGCTTGCAAGTGAGGGGGATCGGAAACGGTTTTGAAGTAGTTCCACTCTTTTCTGAGAGGGTGGTATCAATCTGATACTGTTGCAGAAGAGATGTCAAGCCCTTGGATTCTTTACTGCTTGGGCTTTTGTAATCTCTGGAAGTCTCCTTCATGTAAAATCTGTACTACCTACATGATCTATTAGAGAATGAATATCCCAGATCAGGAAAAAAAATAGGGGATGGTAACCCAGAGACTTGATTTTCTCAGCAACAGATCTTTCCCACTGGAACACCTTGCCCAAGTCAGGTGTACCTCTTCCATGATACTTCAGAAGATGACAAAAACATCCACGATATTTCAGAAGAAATATCCATGATGAAATATCCATGTTATTTCAGAAGATGACAAAAACTCTATCCTCCTGCTTTTAAAGACAAGTCTACATTTATTGGTTTTACTGCAGCATTTTATGGTTTTATTAAAATTTTATTTCATTTTATTATGTAAACCAGAGAATTGGCAAGTGCGTGGCAAAACAATCTCAGTAAGTACACATTCATTGTCCAACAAATCACAGTTAAACTCTATGTGCCCACCTAATTATTTTCTCCTGTATAAAAAAAAACAAATAACCTTTCCCAAAGTTATTAAGCTGATGATTCCCCTGGAAACTATCACGTGAAAAAGAGAGCAGATAGTGCAAATGTCACTTTAGTTTGTTGCTAGAACTTTCCAGGGATTTGCTAGAAACAAGTGCCCATTTGTATAGGCACATTCAACCGCATTCATCCAAAGTCTTATTCGAACTATTTCTGACACGACGCGGAAACCGCTTATTCAGCACCTTCTGCCGATGGACGGCTAGGTTTGGTCTTTTTGATCGAATCTACTTAGAGACTTGCGGCACAGCTTGGCCTTCTAAATCTTTATTGCGCTCTAAACTGGATGGCGTGCTCACTTGTGCCCCTTTCGTTGTTTTTTTTTTTAAATATCCTAAAGCTACCTTGCTCACTTTGTTAACGAGAGGCTTCTTTATTCGCGAAGCACCTTTAAAGTATAAGCCTATAACATTCCACAAACATTCAGCGCGAGGCCGAACTGAGGCGATTGAAAGCCTCGCGTATATCGACCGCCCCGCCTCACTCGTCGCCCCCTCTCGAGGGCGGGGCTACTTATCGGCTTCGGCGACAGTCCGTTAGAGCGGGAGACTCCTCTCCACTCCAACCCGCCCTTCCCGCGCTCTCGTCACGCGCATCCGCTCCGCAGCCCCTCCCCTCACCATGCTGAGGCCGAGGCTGAGGCAGCCAGGCCGTCCGTCCACCTGTCAGTCTCGTCAAACCGCAGCGCTGTGGCCGATTCGAACTCGGGCGGCCTGGCCGGTTGGTTGAAGGTTTCCGCTGCCTCTCAACGGCCGTCGGAGCTCTTTTTGGACTCTTTAGTCACCTCCCTCTCGAACGGGTACCAAGCAGGGAAGAAAATCTAGCAGAGTTCTCGGTCAGAAAAGCGAACTACGCAGCGGGAGACACTGCGAGCGCGGCGTACGGCAGCCATTTTCTCAAAACAACGAGGAGCGATTGCGAGCGCGCGGGGGAACGTCAGCGACCGAACGAGATGGAGCAGGCGAAGCGACGGGAGTGCGCATGCGCCTAGACCAACATAAACAGAAGAGCTGAGGCTTTCACGTGGACTGCGCTTCCCAGAAGGCTGCGCGCGGTTCCTGTGACTCATTCCCTTCGTATTTTGCGCTAGGAAACGTAAGCGTCGCAAGGGACTCTGGGAGCTGAGCAAACCAGTCGGCGCTGGGATTGGCTGGCTTAGGGCTTTCGGACTTGGAAACTAGGGCAGGGTCTTGCAACTTGACAGCTTTAAGACTTGTGGACTTCAACTCCCAGAATTTCTCCTCCAGTCACTTTAGCTCAGGAATTCTGGGAGTTGAAGTCCACAAGACTTAAACTTGCCAAGTTTGAAGACCCTTGAACTAGGGAATGGCTTTTTTCTTGCAGTTGCAGCTATGGAAGGGCAGCCCCAGTTACAAACATCTGGTATTTTGTCTTTTTAATTCCCAGATGAGAAAGGAAAATAAGGGAAGCACTCTGTATTGCCCCAGGACTCCCTCAAATACCACTCTTCAGGTTTTAGGTTGCACTAGCAGAATTCCATCTCAGGGGTGTCCCATCTTGGCCGCTTTAAGCCTTGTGGACTTCAATTCCCAGAATTCCCCATGCTGCCTAGGGAATTATGGGAATTGAAGTCCACAGGTCTTAAAGTGGCCAAGGTTGGACATCTCTGCTCAACATAATCGTGTGATCTGTCACAATTTTTGCAGAAAAAGCAGAATAGTTTAATGTATATGTAGTGCATTTACTAAGCACACTTCCGAATAAGGATGTACATACCGAAGTTTTATTTTCCCCATTCTTTATTAAAGCTAAGACTTAGTATGTGGACTGCAATTTTATCCCATCATTATTTTTGAAGCTAATCTTGTTTGGTGCCTTTTTTCTGTTAGATTTCAGTTCCTACCCTGTTTGAGGTAGTGATCTATCCCATATCGCTAAACCTATAAAAAGTTCTGTAAAATGCTGGTGACATCAATGTTCATAGCGCAGAATATAGTTTATTCCTGATCTGTGCAATGGTAAAATGCATATGGGTAAAGAATGGCTTAAATCTATATTTAAAAACTGGGTTGAGCTCAAATCTGCATTACGGAACCTACAGTAACCCATTGATAAATATACACTGTATGTGTGCTGAGTCCTTTTCCCCCTTACATACTGGAGATTAAACCCCCTGTTTGAAAACAAGTGGAGAATTTTCACAGACCTTATTTTTAGATCAAACTTAAATTGGGTTCACTGCTTCTCAAGGGGAAAAAAAATTACACCGACCTCCAGGCAGATTTAATGAAAGTCCATATGGGGGAGCTGCTGAGTTGCTTTCACCAGAGAAAGCTCCTGGTTGTTCTCCAATGTGGCTGTATTTTCCTTTTGTGTATGCATTTTTCTCTTGGGCGGAAATATTGTCGTTACCCATCTAAATGCACTGAATCCTTCTCAGCTTTGTTTTCCCTCTGATGGAAGAATCCACAGCATCTCTTAGCACGGTTTGTATAATCTTTGAGATTCTAGTTCCCCGATGCTCACATTTTCTTTCTTTCTTGAGGATGAATTCCTTAATTGTAGCTGTTGCAACCTTCTAAATGTGGAAATTGCATGTGCTGTAGAACTAATAGACTTCATCTGGAGCACTGATGTAAGCTTGTTTACATCATCCTCCAGATATGATAGATTTGCAGCTTCAGAAGCTCAAGTTAATCATCCAGCCTTTGTTTATGCTCAAAATTATTGAGTTATGTCTCTGGGCCTGACTAATAAATTGGAAATGGAAACTTTGTGTGTGTGTGTGAGTGTATAAATAGTTAAAAGTGGGGATTTATTTGCTAAATTGAAGATTTTCATGTGCAAAATTGGGCTAATTTGGATTAGATTTCTATGATTAGAAAGATTCTAAAGATATGCCTTTAAATAATTGCAATCTTTAAATATATTAATTTGCTAGTGATCTGTTAATACAAATGCTTCTTTTGTTACCAGACTAGATATATCACTGGATGAATTTTCAAAATATAAATATTTTTATGATAAATGCAGTATTCCAAGAATATTGTGATAATGGTTATTAAGCAATTTGATCTGCCACATTTTCTATTCTTTTAAAAAACATTATTTAAAAACAATTACTGGAATATTAAACAATCCTTGTGTCACCCTTCTACAACCCCTAGAGCTGTGGCCCAAATTTGTGGCTTCATAATCCTAGAATAGCTTTTGAAAATCATCCATTTCTTCTTCCAGGGATTGAGAAAGAACTCCAACCACGATCAGCCACTGAGATTGGTTTCTTCCAGTGTCAGGAAAGGCTGGTGTTATCAGAAAGGTCAAAAAGGAGATGGACTTAGAGGGTTTGCATTTGCCAAATTTCTAAGAGACCCCAGATTCTTTGCTGACTCCCAACTGGAGAAGATTTGGGTATATGTAAATTTATCCCTTTTTATTGGATTCCACTCCTTTCATAACTGGAAATCAGTAAAGGAATGTGGAAGAAATTAGATGCAATGCCTGCCACTTTCATTTTGCTGAGATTTGATATTTCTTTGATTTGGGCCATTTAGTGAAACACCTCAAGTCTTGTTTGAACTATCACAGTTTTCTGATTTATTAATTATGTATGTGTTTTGCACCTATAATGGTCAAGATCATAGTCCAAAGTATTTTTGTAGTTTTATATAATAAAAACTTACCATAATTTACAAATACTGGAATGCATGTAAATATATAATTTCTCCTTGGAAAAAAATGCCTTTTTGTCTTTATGTCTGTATAGTTTATTTGTCTCAACTAACCACCACAATTGAGCCCAAAATTTCCATTGCTAAGCAAGACATTTCTTAAGTGCATTTTGCCCCCATTTTATGATCTTTTTTGCCACAGTTGTTAAGTGAATCATTGCAGTTGTTAAGTTAGTAATATGATTGTGTAATATGGTTATTAAGTGAATCTGGATTGCCCATTGACTTTGCTTGTCAGAAGGTTGCAAAAGGTGATCATATGATCCTGGGACTCTGCAACCATCATAAATGCATGCTTGTTGCCAAGTGTCCGAATTGTGATCACATAATCATGGGGATACTGCAACTGTCATAACCAAAAAACAGTCAGAAGCCACTTTTTTTCAGTGCTGTGCCATTTTAACTTCGAACTGTCACTAAACGAATGGTTGTAAGTCAACGGCTGCCTGTATCATATTGCTGCAATGAAAACTGCCCTGGCTTCTAATTTCTTTCTGGATGCAATTCAAAGCATTGGTTATCAGCTGAAGCCTTGAATGGCACAGGGTTATTTGTAGATTCTCTCTCCCTGAGCTCTTGTCCATCCCACCACACCAGATAGGGTGAGTGTACTCCAAGTCTCTTCTCTTAACTGTTGTCATCTAGAGCAGGGGTGTCAAACTCACATTGTCACGACAGTGTCACATGACGTATCAGGACTTTTCCCCCCTTCACTAAACCAGGCATGAGCATGGCCAAAGCATGACGCATCTGGCCCACGGGCCACGAGTTTGACAGCCCTGATCTAGAGGTACTTAGGAGGTATCCCTTCTCTATAACTGCCTCTGCCCTGTGGAATTAGTTTCCTTCCTGACTAGGCCTCCGTTCTTTCAGTAGGCTGTGAAGAGCTGCCTCTTCCTCAATGCCATGGCCCACAATGAGATTGGAGCTCAACAAATGTTGCATTTGGGATGCCATGAAGTATAGTTTTGACGTTAGGCTTTCTTTCTGTTGTATTGATTTTTCTGTGAGCCATACAAGGTACCCATATAAGTCTCTTCAATAAATAAATAGTTGGTAGTCCCAGACTCTTTGACAGACAAGTGAAAGAGATAGAAAACTGCTACTCTAGAGAAGAGCTAGAAGAATATGTCTACTACTAGGAAGATCCAAACATCAGACTAGACTGTGTGAGCCTTTTACCCTACACTCTTATTCAAGGGTCAGCTATAGCTTGTTTCTTCTATTTAGCAGATTCTAAAGAATTCAGATGGTAACCAACCATCAAGAAAAATACCGAATGAGCCTTCATACTGTAAGGCATGCAAAGTGATGACAATTTCTCTGTATTTTCACAGACCAAAAGATAATCCCTGAAAATATGAACTTGGCAACATTCACAAAATCCTGGATACTTTGGGGTTGTGCTGCCATTAGAAAAACTGGCTTCACTCTGAGAGGAAATGCTTCATCTACAGCAAAGAGAATGCCAAGGACTGAAATGAGATTGCCTTCTGGAGGATCCCTATCATGAATCGATACACAACTATCAAACAGCTGGGAGATGGGACGTATGGCTCTGTCCTCCTAGGAAGAAGTATTGAATCAGGAGAGCTTATTGCCATTAAGAGGTAAGCGGCCTTTCTGAATTGCTGTCCTTTTAACTCTGCATATCACATTTGAGCATCAGATAATGACACACGTTCGTATTTTTGAAGACTGTGGTTCAGTGGTGGGATTCAAAAAGTTTTACCATCGGTTCTGTGGGCATGGCTTGGTGGGCGCACTTTGCATGTGTGCGCTAAACGTGCACTTGCACAGGTGCAGAGGCGTTCCGACTCACCTCCCGCAAGCCTGCACTCTCCCGGTCGCTTCAGCAGCTGTTGCGCAGCACTCTGCTGTGCCACACAAAGCAGCTGCGCTGCAAAAGTAGAGGATAAAGGTGAGTATGGGAGCCCAGGCGGTGGGCGGGCCCAACAACAGAGCAGCTCATCGCCGCTACCGGCTCAGCAGAATCGGGCCAAGCCGGCAGAATACCACTTCTGCTGTGGTTCAAACTTGTTCTAACACAGGGATATCGCTTCAACTTGTCAAGGCACAATTGATCCCTTAGTTGGGAAAAATCAGTACTTCATTTATTTTGAAACCACTAAATAAAAACTCAGATTTTCAATGGTACTAACCTTGAGAATGATTTTCAACCACTTGGGAAAACAAAATGGCTTTTTGACTGTTTCCCCTCTTACATAATTATGTGATTTTCATACCACATGAAAATCTGCTTTTAAAAATTCTTTTCGTGTTAGAAAATGAAAAGAAATGTTTGAGAAACAAAAAAAAAAAAAGCATCGAGGTTAGAGAATGGGATTGTAGATCTTTGGTTGTTGTGTCTTTGAATTTATTTCTCCAGTCTTATGTCACGATGAAACTGGAACACAAATTGTGCTCAATAATAAGAGTTCTTATTCCTTTTGCAGGATGAAGAGGAAATTTTATTCCTGGGAGGAATGCATGAATCTTCGTGAAGTCAAGGTACTTGACACTTCCTTCTGATTCTAAACTCCCCGAAGGAGTTTCAGGTTTAAATCAGCTGTGTAGTGCTGTAACCTACACTTTGTTTTTCTAAACCATTTTTTCCTGAAAGTAACACAGACCTATGTTGTTTGTGTTTGTAAATGATGTAAGAAAACTAAAAAGTAGTTGGGTAAGGCAACAGGAAATTAGTGCCAAAAAATGCACATACACAACAGATGCATGCACCATGAATTAATAGGACTTTGGAATTCGGTCTATAGGACTATTGCAAAACAGCTATAAGGGTTTTCAGCTCCAGTGTGACCATATCCATATTTATAAATGTGTTTATATTGGGTTTCAAATCACTTTTCCTAGTGTTACTTAGAAGTTATTTTGCTCTTCAGATCAGAGCTGTTTTACGAATGAGCTGAGGTAGGTTTGGTAAGATGCTTGGTCCTCTAGCTATGAAAAAGGAAATCTACTGACAGGCCTTCTAAGACTATTGTGAAGCTGACTGACATATCCATTGCCCAGCAGCTGGCATATGAGCATCTAATAATTGTGAAAAATTATTGTGAAAAATTAACATTAATTGGTGAATCTATTTAAGCATAATAAGAAGATGTGGAAGAAAGCACCTGAGACTGCAGTGTTCATACTGCCTGGAAGGAATATTAATCAAAAGATTATGGTTAGATGTTGTGTTTCGCTGCATGAAGATCTCTGCAAAGAAATTGGCTTCCTTGGTCTGAAAAGTTTTGTTTGTTGAATGGGACCATATTTAACTTTAGCAGCATCTTAAATTACATTTCTGAAACAAAGATTCATTGTCACTTATTTTGAAGTCTGCTGTGTTACAATGTCTGTAATTGTTTTCTGTTTTTTTTTCCCCAGTCCTTGAAGAAACTTAACCATGCCAATGTAGTGAAACTAAAAGAAGTTATCAGAGAAAATGATAATCTGTACTTTGTATTTGAATATATGAAAGAAAACCTTTATCAGTTAATGAAAGAAAGGTATGTTGTTTTTCTCAAGACACAGTTCAATGGCATAACCTAAGAAAGAGGGAAAGATCATCTGGCTTCCCAGATATTATTAAACTAAAACTCCCAATAGCTCTCTGCACTTCGGCAAAGGATGATAAGAATGATAATTCAGAAGGCATGTAATAAACAACCAGTTCAAGGATCAGCAAAAACACATTAGGTTAGGAGATAGAATCAATAATTAAAATTATGCTGGAATGCGAAGTTTAGCTTTCCACTCAGCTATGTTTCTTGCTGGAAAATTACATAGTGAAAACTGCTTGTTTATTTGTTAAATTTGTTTGCTGCCCATCTCATATCAAAACAACTCTGTGTGGTTTACAGCATTAAAACATTAAAATCCTAAAAGTTAATATTTCTGAAACAAAAATGGTACAACATTTGCAAAAAAAAAACCCATAGCTGTGCCTCCCGGACAGCTGACAAGTGCTGTGCATGGGTGCGCAACATTTGAAAATCCTCTTCTTTCCTGCTTTTTCAACCTCAGCTGTGCCACACAAAGCAGCTGAGATTGAAAAAGTGGGAAATAAAGGACAGCCAAGAAGCCGGGTGGCCGGATGAGCCAAACAGATGACCAAAAGGTCATCGCAGCGAGCCGGTTTGGTGTCCGTTGCTCTTCAGAACTACTGGTTCTATAGAACCGGGCTGAACCGGTAGCTTTCCACCCCTGGATACAGATATAAAAGCTGGGATAAAGTAATAAAAATTGAAGTCAAACTTCTTCATTATCAAATATATACTGCTCAAAAAAATAAAGGGAACACAAAAATAAGACATCCTAGATCTGAATGAATGAAATATTCTTATTAAATACGTTGTTCATTACGTAGTTGAATGTGCTGACAACAAAATCAAAAATTTTCAATGGAAATCAAATTTAGCAACCCATGGAGGTCTGGATTTGGAGTTACACTCAAAATTAAAATGGAAAAAAACACTACATGCTGATCCAATGTTGATGTAATGTCCTTAAAACAAGTCAAAATGAGGCTCAGTAGTGTGTGTGTGGCCTCCACGTACCTGTATGACCTCCCTACAACACCTGGGCATGCTCCTGATGAGGTGGTGGATGGTTTCCTGCGGGATCTCCTTCCACACCTGGACTAAAGCATCCCCCAATTCCTGGACAGTCTGTGGTGCAACGTGGCGTTGGTGGATGGAGCAAGACATGATGTCCCAGATGTGCTCAACTGGATTCAGGTCTGGGGAACGGGCGGGCCAGTCCATATCATCAATGCCTTCATCTTGCAGGAACTGCTGACACACTCCAGCCACATGAGGTCTAGCATTGTGCATTAGGAGGAACCCAGGGCCAACCGCACCAGTATATGGTCTCACAAGGGGTCTGAGGATCTCATCTCAGTACCTAATGGCAGTCAGGCTACCTCTGGCGAGCGCATAGAGGGCTGTGTGGCCCCCTAAAGGAATGCCACCCCACACCATTACTGACCCACTGCCAAACCGGTCATGCTGGAGGATGTTGCAGGCAGCAGAACGTTCTCCATGGCGTCTCCAGACCCTGTCACATCTGTCACATGTGCTTAGTGTGAATCTGCTTTCATCTGTGAAGAGCACAGGGCACCAGTGGCAAATTTGCCAGTCTTGGTGTTCTCTGGCAAATGCCAAACATCCTGCATGGTGTTGGGCTTTAAGCACAACCCCCACCTGTGGACGTCGAGCCCTCATACCACCCTCATGGAGTCTGTTTCTGACCATTTGAGCATCCACATGCACATTTGTGGCCCGCTGGAGGTCATTTTGCAGGGCTCTGGCAGTGCTCCTCTTGTCCCTCCTTGCACAAAGGCGGAGGTAGCGGTCCTGATGCTGGGTTGTTGCCCTCCTACATCTGATGTATTGGCCTGTCTCCTGGTAGCGCCTCCATGCTCTGGACACTACGGTAACAGACACAGCAAACCTTCTTGCCACAGCTCGCATTGATGTGTCATTCTGGATGAGCTGCACTACCTGAGCCACTTGTGTGGGTTGTAGACTCCGTCTCATGCTACCACTAGAGTGAAAGCACCGCCAGCATTCAAAAGTGACTAAACCATCAGCCAGAAAGCATAGGAACTGAGAAGTGGTCTGTGGTCACCACCTGCAGAACCACTCCTTTATTGGGGATGTCTTGCTAACTGCCTATGCTTTCCGTCTGTTGTCTATTCCATTTGCACAACAGCATGTGAAATTGATTGTCAATCAGTGTTGCTACCTAAGTGGACAGTTTGATTTCACAGAAGTGTGATTGACTTGGAGTTACATTGTGTTGTTTAAGTGTTCCCTTTATTTTTTTGAGCAGTGTATATTTTATATACAACAAATGCCGCCTCTGCTAAGAAGTTGAAACAGTAGACCATCTAGTTAGCTGCTGCACGATTGCACAGATTGACTATAAACATTATGACAGAGAAGCAACAGTGGTGCATTGGAAATCTGCAATAAAATATCATTTGTCTGCAAGTATTAATTGGTTGGTCTACAACAGTGGTTCCCAAAGTTGGTGGTACCGCCCCGTGGGGGCGGGTGGGATGCCTTAGGGGGCGCTAAGAGGCAAGCGGGCTGGCAGAGGGGTGCTAAGAGGTGGCAGGGGGGCACTAGAGGTGGCCCCCTCACAGGGCGCAATTCAGGGATGGGATTTTGCAGGTAGCTTGGCCGAACTCCTGCCCCAGGAGTCAAAGCGCTGAAGCATGAGCAGCGCAGGAAACTTTGGCCGGGGTCTCAAAATGAGAGCGACTGGCCGCTTCTTTCCACTAACAGGCAGCCAAGATATCTGCAAACTGTCAAGTGCTCCTCAAGAGAGGCGATTTTGCAGATAGCTGGCCGAACTCCTGTGCAAAGGGGAGCACAACATTGTACTGCACTAACACAGGGGGTGGGGGGAGGTGGCTCATCCCCAAAGCACCAGCATTGCTCCAGAGACGCAGCCCCAAGGACACTACCTTTGCCTGCACCCGTCACTAAAGTGCAGCAGCCAGAGAAGCGCTCCATTCAGAAGCTCTGAACTCCCAATCAGCACTGGAGGCAGTGCTGGAAGGGAAGAGACAGCGCCCGAATGGGCTTCCACAAAGGGGGAAGAAAACCCTCCCTCTGCTGCTGCCACTGTTTTCGCCCCTCTCATAAACCCTGCCAGCTCCTGTGTGTCCTGTTTGCAGTCCTGCCTGAGGACGTGCCGCCTGCGCACACCCCCCACCCAGTCACATGACCACTAAACCATGCCTATCTGGTCACGTGACCACGAAGCCATGCCCAGCCAGCAAGCCACGCCTAGCCAGTCACATGGACACAAATTAAGCCACGCTCACAGAACCATTTGTTAAGGAATTTGAACCCCACCCCTGGGTGGGGGGCACAGGATGAGTTTGTAGCACCAAGGGGGCGGTGGACTGAAAAAGTTTGGGAACCACTGTTCTACAAAATAGACAAAGTAATAGAAAATAGACTAAAATGCTCTGGGACTTTAGAATTCCAACAGACAAATATCTGTCACACAACATCCCAGGCTTAGCAATAGTTGATAAGAAAGACCAAAGAGTTTGGCTAGTAGATGCTTCATTACCCGGAGATAGCAGAATAGAAGAGAAAGAACTGGAACAAAATCACAAAATACAAAGACCTGCAAATGGAAATAGATTAACTGTGACAAAAGAAAGCAAAGATAGTACCAATAGTAACAGGCATCTTGGGTGCAATCCCAAAACATCTGAAGCACCACTTGGATATCATTGGCATTGACCAAAATCACCATCAGTCAGTTGCAAAGGCAATTTTATTTGAAATAGCTGACATCTTGCAATGATACCTTTAATAATATTTTCCTATCCCGGGTCCTTGGAAAGGAGACAATAGACAAAAATGCTAATTATCTGGCTAACTGACCAACCACAATAGATCTGATACTTCATGTAGCTTAGGCACAATGGTACTCTCAGGGTTTACTTTAAGTTAGCATTTCTGAGAAATAACAACAGCTGAGTTGAACTGCCATTTCAGTTTTCCATCATCCATGGAGTCCAGAGTAGGGATATTTATTTATTTATTGGGCATACAACAACAATGGATTCTGCTTTAACTTCACCACATGCCAATTCCAATGCTCAACCAGTAGGCTGACATTCTGAATAGCATGGCATTTCCATCCTTGTCCTGAAGCTGAGTAAGTTACTATGAGAATCTTTTTCTCAGTTGCTTATATGACATCAATAACAGTAAAGCTACATGTGAGTGTTCTAAATACAGGTAGTCCTCAACTTACAACCAGAATTGAGGCCAAAATGTATGTTGCTAATTGAGAAATGTGTTAAGTGAGTTTTGTCCCATTTAAGACTTTCCTTGCCACTTTGGTTAAGTGAATGACTGCAGTTGTTAAGTCAGTAACACAGCTGTTAGGTGAAGCTGGCTTCCCCATTGACTTTGCTTGTCAGAAAGTTTCAAAAGGTGATCACATGTTCCCAGGACATTGCAGCTGTCATAAATGTGAACCATTTGTCAAACATCTGAATGTAAATCACGTGATCGTGGGGATGCTCCAACAGTTATAACTGTGAAAAATGGTAATAAATCACTTGTTTTCCGTGCCGTTATAACTTCAAATGGTCACTAAGCAAATTGTTCCAAATTGAGGATTACCTGTAAATAAATAGAAGAGTAATTGCTTCTGAGCCAAACCATTTCAGAATGTCTGAGCTAATTTGCTTGTGTTCTGATCTATTTGTAGCCTCCCACTATATCTTCACTTTGGAAACGACTGCTGATAAGAAACCTCATATGTGAATATAAACATTGAGTTCTGTTTCTGCTTTACAGGAACAAATTGTTTCCAGAATCCACTGTCAGGAATATTATGTATCAGATTCTTCAAGGCCTTGCATTCATACATAAACACGGTAAACTTTAAATGACAAATCAGATTATTCTCTGTGTCTGTATGTATAACACAGAAGGAATATCTCAGATATATGTGGGCAGATATTTCTTGTTTGGGTTCAGGGAACTAAACAATGTTATCATCAAGGTCTTCTGAAAAGCCCTGTTGTTGAATAAATAATTACTTCTTAATGAGACTTCTGAATCCCATAGTAATCAACAGAACTGATTTCAGGTCAGCTGACACAGTGCTACACTGTACAAAACGTGTTATTTACATCCGTTCTTTTATAAAACTGATCTATCATGTAAAAAGATTAAGAGCTGATAATCCCAACAGTGTTCTCATTTTTAGGTCAGGATGTTGTAATGGGAGAACATACAGCAATTTGTGTTGCTATTATTTTTTCAATAGTAACTTCATGTTAGTATCATTCCAAATTTTAAATATTTTATAAAACCCTGGAATCTTTCAGTCTATGATTTTTGTTGTTGTTCAGTTCCAAAGTTATGTCTGATTCTTTGCAACCCCGTGGACCATAGTACACCAGGGCCCCCTGTCCCCTATTCTCTCCCGGAGTTTGCCTGATCTCATGTCCACTGCGTCAATGACGCTATCTAAGCATCTCATCCTCTGCTGCCCACTTCTTTTGCCTTCAATCTTTCCCCAACATCAGGATCTTTTTCAAGGAGTCCTCTCTTCTCATTGATGGCCAAATATTTGACCTTTAGGAACAGTATCTGTCCTTCTAAAGAACAGTCAGGATTGAGGTCCCTCAGGATTGATGGATTGATTTTATCTCCTTGCAGTCCAAGGGACTCTCAAGAATCTTCTCCAGCACCACAATTCAAAAATATCAATTCTTCAGCAGTCAGCTGTCCTTATGGAATCTAGCTATAGTCAATGTAACAATGTAATTTTTGCTTTCTATTCAGAACTACTATTTTTTATGTTTACTTTTGTTTAGTAAGGTATTTGTTCTGATCTTTACCTCCAGACATAAAGCATAACCAAATAACATTTTTTTCTAATTTGAAAACCTCTCAGCCTAAAATGAAAGGAAGAGCAGTGATCAAGTATTGCATGAGCTAAATTTTGATGTTTGTTTTCTGAACAGTTCATTCTTGTAATTCTTAAAAGTGTCTATAAGGTGAAAAGTAAGCAGAAGGATGAGAGAAAAGCCTAACCAGTGTTTGTCTTTTCACACAGGTTTTTTTCATAGGGACTTAAAACCTGAGAATCTCCTTTGCATGGGACCAGAACTTGTGAAAATAGCAGATTTTGGGCTTGCACGTGAAATTAGATCCAGACCTCCCTACACAGACTATGTTTCAACACGATGGTAAATACTTAGAGTCATTAGTTGGATTATTAGTGATAATTATTGATACTTTTAGTTGGATTTTCTTTTTTATATCTGTTAAGTAAATAATGAAGTAGAGTCAAGCTTTGAGCATATGCAACAGGACCGATAAAAAAGGGAAGTCATTTCTGTAGCAGTTTCTCTAGCGCAGGGCTTCCCAGCCATAACTTTAAGATGCATGGACTTCAACTCCCAGAATTCCCCATGTTTTAAAGTTGCCAAGGTTAAGAAACTTGCTCTAGGCTCCCATTACATGGAGGATCAGGAGGCCCAGCTGAATTGGTTGGCTATGAAGAGAAAAGGTAGATCCAATAGAAACATGTCCATGCCTTGACTTCACTAATTCAAAATCAGCTTGGTGTCTCTAATCACATGACATTAAGTTGTTCTTGAGGAGCTCTGCCCATATGTTCTTGGCTTAACCATAGTAAATTTGAAACGGCTGCCATTTTATCTGGGATAAAACTGGCATCTGCGTAAAGAGCATGGTGGAATTTTATTGGCAGGGATCTTCGCAGCACGTGTTGAAATGAATGAAGAGTAAGTCAATCACTCAAGCAGATATGATGGATGAAGCTCCTCTATTCATGGAATTGCTTGTTTGGACAGAACTTCCCAAGTTTGCATAACCGTACAGTATTTTGCAATTGTAGATAGGAGTAGTGTTTCTCTTTATGGAGAAAATTTTGAAGATTTTTTTCAGCAACAAGTTTTTCTTGACTTAGTGTAAGGGCTTACAAGGCCCCTGAAATTTGGCCATGTGACCAGGGAAGGGTGACAATTAGAACTTCAAACTGGATTGTAAGTAGGCCTCAGGTAAGTCTGTCATAACTTTGAACAGTCAGTAACCAACTGGCTATAAGTTGAAAGCTACCAGTTTTATTTCAGCCAGGTTACATGGAATTGATTAATTAATATGTGTCATCAAGTTGTGTTTGACTCCTAGAGACCCCATAGATTTTCCCCACGACCACATGAAAATTAGAGATGATTAAACAAGTGCAGATGCATAGTGGTTCATGAGTACTTTGTGTTATACAACTTCAGAGGGTTTGTCCATTCATTGTCTTAAGTTATGTTCTGCTTAAGTGTGGTTTATTGAATAAACAACTGTTGTTTAGTTTTACACCACAGACTGAATCATAAAACTGAGTCCAATTAGTTCATTGGGTACATTGCACAACCATCATCCAATCTGACCAGTTTGGGCTTAGCACAATGCATGAACCAAAAATAGTCTTTCCATAAATCCTGATGAACAACTTGATAGATAAGAAATGTGGGTGAATCCAGTGAATGGTTTAACACACTATACCTAAAAGGCCATCTCATCCAATGAGACTCATGACCCCTGATAGAACATGTAAGCTGCAGCTCAGTATATTTACTATAGAGTCTTACCCTGAGAAAGGGGTGGGTAGTGAGTGTAAAGTGAGAACTGAACACTCAAAATGTCTGTGTCATGTATTAGCAGCTGCTTTAATTACTATAGTTCATTTAAAAAAAAAACACTGGTGTTTTGCTTATTTTTGGCTTTCAGGTACAGAGCTCCTGAAGTGCTCTTGAGGTCCACTAACTACAGTTCTCCCATTGATATTTGGGCTGTTGGTTGCATCATGGCAGAAGTTTATACGCTCAGGCCACTCTTTCCCGGGACTAGTGAAATTGATACTATTTTCAAAATTTGCCAAGTGCTGGGAACGCCAAAAAAGGTAGCTAAATGAGATCCGGACCTTTGTTGCCCATGGAATATTACAGGCATAAATAGCTTCTATGGACTTTGCCTTTCTCTCAGTTCATTACAGGTCCCATTATGCTGTGTTGATATCAAATAGACAATTAAAATGATTCCGGGTTTATATTATCAACAGCTAAACAATGACACATTATATGAAGAACACAAGATAGCATTTATTATATCTCTTGATCCTGTGTATATTTACTTAAAACCAAATGAGTTCAGCGAAACTTAGCACTTTGGAGGAAGATACGCTTAGATTGTTCATATTTATTCTAATGTTAGAATACTTATTATTCTAATGTTTGTTTTTAAGATTATTTTCCATTATAGTTCCTATAACTCCGCCCTGTAACTTCTGGGCTATTCAGTGTTTCCTAGCAAGAAATTCTAGACATAATATTCTTTCACCACTGTGTATGTTTTCTTCATGTATGTGTACTTGAATGACTACAAAGGTTCACCTAACTTGCTTCATCTAACATAGTGCTCACTTTGAAAACTCAATTGTGCCAAGAATGGATTTCAAATGACAGAGGGATGAGGTGACATATACACGTGGTATACATAGACTTGTACAATATTGTGTATGCATAATTTGATGTGATGTTGTCTATTGGAGTGGTCAATCAAACAAATTTTCATCAGCATAAACATTCTCGACATAATGTATCCCAGAGTTAGGGAAGATGAAAGCTGAAGGGCAAGAAAATTTGGATGACTGCAGGTTGCTCATCTGTCTTTCCTTTAGTATGTGTTCAATCAAGCCTAAATGAGATAGCTTTTGTTTGTAGTACAGGTCCTGTTGATCATACTGCAATAATTGGCCCACTCTTAGGGTGTATTCATTGTGCCTTTATTCTTCTCCTTCAACTTCATTAGATCCCATTCTGTAGGCTTGGCATCAGCATCAGATACCCTGGCAGGGCTGCTTACTTTCAAAGCCCTGGCAGAATCTACTAGTTACTGACCATAACTGTGGGCAGCCATTTTAATTTCTCATAGTACTGCAGACACGGTTGAGAGTTGTTTCCAAAATTAGTTCTGATATTTTTTTTAAGGTGGCATATTTAGATAACACATTATTTAAAGAGAATTTGTCAAAATGATTGTGTTGATTTAAAAGCATAACTCAATATAATTATCTGTAACTGTTGTGACAATGAAACAGCATGTTAAAATTTTCAATTTGAGCCAGGTTTCTATGAACCGTCATCAGAGTTCCAACTATCCCAGCACTCCCACTGTCACATGATCATTATCTGGACACTTAGCAACTGTTTTTTTACCCCATGACCATGTGATTGTCTTTTGCAACCTTCACTGCTGGCTTCCCCAGAAAGACAATGGGGAAGCCAGCGGGGAAGGCCACAAGTCTTCCCTATTTGCAAATCATCTCTCAGCCCCTGTATGCCATGCCATGTCAGCCATATGAATGCCTCCAGATACCCTCCTCAACCTGTACCACACCCCTGCACATCGGACTTGTGCTACACCACTGCTCATCCTCTCCAACACATGCCATTCCTCTTGTGCATCATCCCTAATCCACACTGTGCCTCTTGTCTACTGCCTCACACTTTTCTGAGCCATGTTGCACCCTCACACACCATGCTGCACCTCTCATGCACCCCTCAAACTCTTGTACACCCTCCCCACCTCTCACCATATCTCCTGCACACCTCTTCACTCCCTTCCCCAACCAACAGCAGCAACTTACCTGTCTCCCAGTCTGGGACTTGCAATTTCCTGATGGCTTGCCAACTGACTTTGGTTGTGAAAAGCGAGCAGGAGGTTGACTCTCCAAACAACAGTGAGATATGTTTAACAATATCAACCAGGATTACAGGAATTGCCATCGCTAAAGCGATGCAGTCTTCTTTTACAACTACATCACTTAGCAATGAAAATTCCAGTCCCAATAAGTCCAGCCATCGTATATTGAGGATTAACGGTAATAAGCATGTAAGGCTGCAAATAATATTACAAAAGTTTCTTTAATATCAGTCCTCTTTAATCCTTTTCAGAACGATTGGCCTGAAGGCTACCAGCTTGCAGGCACCATGCATTTCCGGTGGCCCCAGTGTGTACCAAATAACCTAAAGACCCTCATCCCTAATGCCAGCAGTGAGGCCATCCAGCTCATGAGAGACATGCTGCAATGGGACCCCAAAAAGCGGCCAACTGCCAGTCAGGTTTGATATTCTTTTATTAACAGCTCTTTATAGACAATATTTGTTGATAGCATAACACATTCTCTCCCTCAAAACTGAAGGAGCCATCAAAGAGGAGAATATGCAGAACCGTTTTGCCTGTTACTGCTTCTAACCATTGTTGAGTTCCTTTTGCTACAAGCCCCAAATCAGTGTCCTTATTATGCAGGGTGGGCGCAAATCTATATCGCAGGGCTCCCCAACCTGTGGGGATGTGAGGGATTTGCAGCCGGACCCTGGGAAATGGCTGGGCAGCGGGCAAGTACATGCGCACCCCATTTAAGTGAGTGGTGTGTGGACACCGCTTGTGCAAATGGAGCTGCACATGTGCATACTTGCTGACCGCTCGTGTGGAACCATCCCTTCTCCCCCTTTGCCGGTCCGCAAAGTCGGACACGTTGGAGAACTCTGCTCTGTAATATATGTGCTCTTGCTGCTACTGCTACAACATATTCTTCAGGTCTTCATGCAGTTGTTACATTAACACAGGATCTCATTTTGTAAAAACATATGATGAGGTTTGCTCCCTGGCTGAGCACTCAGTTCCTTACAGATCAGTGGTGGGATTCAATTTTTTTTTACTACCAGTTCTGTGGGTGTGGCTTGGTGGGCATGGCAGGGGAAGGATACTGTAGAATCTGCAGTCAGAGGTGGAATTTGCCGGTTCTCCGAACTACTCAAAATTTCTGCTACTGGTTCTCCAGAACTGGTCAGAACCTGCTGAATACCACCTCTGCTACAGAGGCTAGCCATCTGCCCACAGGCAGGACAGGACATGAAGAGCACCCTCAGCAATTGGCATTCTTGAAAGATGTGTTGCCCTTTAGATCTGAAACTGGAAGGTTTCTTTCCTTTTCTTTTCAGAATAATTGTGCAAATGGTATCTGTTTGAAATGGGCCTTTCCCTAGGCTTTCAAAGCGGTTGCAGGATCACAGGAAAATGTCCATTTGAGTGAAAGCAGGTCCCACAGTTCACTCGTGCCTATTCCTGAGCATCACACTCTTTGGTCAACTCGGTTCAAAAGTGTGTCAAAAATTCAAAAGAAACTTAAAGTGTTTTTTTAAAAAAAAATCACGTAAAAATGAAAAGCTTCTGGAAATTGAATCCTGCATGTATTAGGATATCCTGAGCTTTTCCTTCCCATGTTCAGAATGACAGGAAATGCAGCTCTGGCTATTGACAATATGCCCATATTCCTACCTTTGTTTGATTGCTTGGCCTTCTTCGCTAAATAATGAATTTTTCCCTTGGATTTTAGGCACTTCGATATCCTTACTTCCAAGTTGGCCAAGCCCTGGGCCCTTCTCAGTATATTCGGGAGCTGGGAAAGCAACAGCGAGACCTTCCTGACAAAGGCCAAAGCCACCTTAAGCCCGTTCCACCACCAGCACCCCCACCTAAAGCACAAAGTGGCCTCTCACTGAGACCATGTCCGCAGAGCCATTCCTCCCAATCCCTGACCTACCCGCACAAAGCAGACTCCTCAGCGAGGGACCACTTAAAGGAAGCCAAGCCAAGCCAGGTGGTCTTCCCAGAAATTCACAGCAAGCTTTCTCTACAGGTAAGAAGCTTTGAACGCTTTGCATTGTTAAAAACAGGTGCAATTGTTCTCTCACTCTGTTACTTTCCCTCAGACTAGCTCCCCTCATCAGGTTGCTTTGTGGAAGTAGAGGCAAAAGAAGAGCTTACTTGGAGATTTCCTTTCACACCAAGAGTTTGCCTTTGTCCTTGGGGGACATGCTGTTTCCACACTTAGCACTCCATCACCAGGCAGTATGCAGTCGCTCAGAAGCTATTCTAGAGCAGTCTTGGGTACCACCAGAAGATGAGCTGTAGCGCATTAGAGTTGAATTACTATAAATCAAGCGGAGTGAACTTTGCTATGTTGATGGGTATTGATTACCGAGCTACACCAACTACAAACAGTCAAGTTTCTGCTTAGTTCAGTTGGTCAGATAATGTGTGTAATCCTTAAATGAGCAGGGAATGCTTAATTTTGATGAAAACAACTGTGAAGCAGCTAAATGTAGCCCTTAACTTAGGACCACAATTGAGCCCTAAAATTATGTTGCTAAGTGAGCAATTTGTTAACTGAGTTTTGCCCCATTTTACGACTTTTCTTGCCACATTTGATAAGTGAATCCCTGCCGTTGTACAATTAGTAACACGGTTGTTAAATGAAGCTGGTTTCCCCATTGCCTTTGCTTGTCAGAAGGCTGCAAAAGGTAACCAATCACGTAACCCCGGGACACTGCAACCATCATAAATGTGAGTCAGTTGTCAAGCATCTGAATGTAAATCACATGACCATGGGGATGCTGCAATGGTCATAAGTGGGAAAAAGGGCCATAGGTTTTTCCGGTGCCATTGTAATTTCAAACGTAACAACTAAGTGAACTGTTGTAAATTGAGGACTACCTGTATTTGAGGCTATGTTCCAACAATTAAAACTATATTGCCTTGGTTTGCTTTCTGATCTGTAAATCACCAAGAATGTATAGATTAGAAACTGTTCAAAGTTACAACAGAACCCCCCCCCCCCCCCCAAACCAACCCACCACCCGGGATTTAAAGTTCTGATATCTGCACCCCCATCCTGCTGGTCAAGTGACCCCATTCATAGCTGTTTGCAGCACTCCACAGTCAGATGACCATGTTTACGATGGGTTTTTTTTTTTCTGGAAACCAGCATTTACCTCAGTTTATATCAAAAACTGCCTCGTAGTGAACGATAGGTTTGCTTAATGACCACTGCAATGAAAGTCATAAAATTGGGCCTGGCTATGTGGTGATTCGCTTTACAACCATCACAAGTTAACTACCCAAATTTGGGGTGTTCAATTACAGTTGTAAGTCGAGGACTACCCGTATTTCCCTTCTCAGCTCACATTCTTTGAACCTTTCAGAATTACTTAGTACCAGTACATGGGGGAAACATTTAAAAAACCATCCCTGCATCCAGGTTTACTGTGAGCATGTCCAAACTTTATGATCCCTTCCCAAGATTTTATCTGTGGTACAGATTGCACTATTCATAGCATTCATTTTATATTCATACACTTGTTATTTATATATGCTAACCAGGAAGGATTGAATACAATTCTACTTCTCCATCACACAGGAGCTAGAGAACTATTAATATATTAGAAACATTGACAAGATTGTACTTTGCCTCCTCAAACCAAATCAGAATCTTTGTGACTTACATCTCATCCTCCTTTCCCACTTTATTTTCTACATCACAAACCTATTTTTGTGTTTATCTTTTGTGTCTTCCTTTTTATTTCCAGTAGGATTTTTCTATAGACATGGCTTTTTCATCTTTATCTGCAAAACCGCTACAAAGATATCACTAGAAATAAGAACATTCAAAAGAGAAATATAAAAGGATCTGTGAGATAATTTTATTTAGTTTTCGTGGTGGTTGCTTTTGTACCCAACTTTATTGGTTAACCTTCTTTTATAAGTTTTGTTTTCATGCTGCTTCATATCTGCTCCAATATTAACAATTGTTGCCATTTCAAATGATGTTCTATTCTTTGCAATTCACATCCGTGGGATACTTTTATTTTGTAATAGGTCTATCTAGCTAAGCTTTTTTTTCTGTTGGAGAAGCTTTCTGTGATTGGAATCAATTATGCACATTTGTTCTGTGTGCACATTGCATTTTGACTGAATCATTGCTTTCCAATAATTGCAGTACCTTCATTTTTGAGAAGGTAGTAGACCAGGAGAGGGAACTGACCATGGCATTAGATTCCAGCAGCTATAGGAGATTGGGAAATCACACCTGGAAGTCGATCACATGCTCACAGAGAGTGAGTCCCAACCTCCTTTCATTTACAAAGCAGTTTAAACTCTGGTATATTTTTATTTTGATAGAGAACCTCCATTGCCACAGAAGAAGCCAACTGTGATCTCAAACCAAAGAACCAACATAAATGGGGCCACATTATTGGAACACTAAAAAGTTCTGTGGAGTGGGATACTTTGGAAGAGAGTGATAGGAAGTCTTCCCTCAGCAGAACTGATTTTAAAAACAAAGGGCAGAGTGATGATGCTCTTTGTAGGTAAGCTTTTGATTTCCCATTTATATCTTTGTAGGCAAGCTTTTGATTTCCCATATATATATCATAATGTTTAATGTTAAGATGTTTGGACTTCAACTCCCAGAATTCCCCAGCCAGCCATTCCTATCCTAATGAGATATTTTAAAAACAAGGATGGGCAAAATATGGCTTTTCCGATAATGGAGGACTATTAGCCATGTTGGCTAGAGTTGATAGGAAGTTCAGTCATCCTTGGAAGGCTGTGTATAGCTCCTCTCTGGTTGACAGGCTATATTCCATTTCTGCTTAACTTAAGATCAATTAAAGTTGAACTTAGTAATGCCTTTTTCTGAGGAAATATGAATGCACAAATTGTATTGGCACCATTTGTGCAGCTAGTTTTTACTCCAACAGAGCGATGAATGGAACAAAATCACATTTTCAGTATTCTGTGTAAATATGCATTTGTGTATCTTGTGATTTTGCTCAGTTAACATGCAAAGATCTCTTGATATTAAGGTAAACCTGCCTGTTCAATAACTATCTAGCTATTCAGTCATGTATTTATTTAGAAATGTATCCAAATTAGTTTAATGGCGCTTACTCTTAGAGAAAGACAACTTAGTTTACATGTATATTTATTAAAGACTATTATTTACTTCACTGGAGACTCCTGTTTAAGTAACCTTGCATAACAAGTATATGGTGGAGCAGGGCAAATGAATATTATGTATCTTTTTCTATGTGACCTGAATTAATCATTTTAGTATGTTGTTACTTTTGGTATTTGAGCATCAGAAAAATGTGTGTTGGAATTTGCACTGAAACTTTATAATTTTGTTTCAGATTTTTATCCCACTTTTTATTTTATATGCAACTCAAGGTGGCAAACATATCAGTACTCCTTCCTTCTTCTGTTTTCCCCACATCAGCAGCCCTGGAAGGATTCAATTGCAGCTTCTTTTGGTCAGGAAAAAAAAACCATGTGAATTGATATAGAGGGGTGTATTGTGAGAGTCTGAAGTGGGTTATTTGTTTTGGGTTACAGATTTGAAAGCATTTTGGATCTGAAACCTTCAGCCTGCATAGGGACGGGAAACAGCGCACCTTCCTATCTTCAACAGGACATGCCAACATGCCAAGTTTCTGCAGCCAAACAACATTACTTGAAACATTCTAGGTATTTACCTGGTTAGTAAAACAAACAAACCCAAACCATAATCTTTACTGTAATATTTCATAGGAAATGGCATTTAGATTAGGAAGGGGAGGAGTACCATATGAATTCACAGCCTCAAACTGCTTGTTGTATACTTTTGTTTCCTTTACTCGTGTGTCCAAATAGCAGCAGATATTCTATAATTTTCAAAAGGTTATAAACTTTCTCTTCCATGCGCAAACATTATCTTTACTGTGCGCTTTGCAGAAAATTTTTTCACAGATTAAATTATATTCAGTTTATGATCCATATAATTGCTTATGCCTTATGCCATCCTTCTCCCAAAGAGCTCAGTCTATTTTTTGATAGTAGCTGGTTTACTTTCACAGAAATCCTGTGAATTATGCCAGATTTCAAAGGAGCAAGTTGCTCAAACTGTATGTTGAGTGTCAACATAAATTGGTCTTGTCTAAAACTTAAAATACTGTACATCACAAATTATTTTCCCCCTTTGTAAATTGTCCAAATACAGCATGCAAAAGAGGCAGGCAGCCTTTCTGTCATTCCCAGAAAATATACCACCAAATTTTGCTGGCAAATAGCAAACAGAAACTGAATTTCCCATCAGTTTTTGGTAAAAAGCATTTTAAAGGGATGTCAACTTTTGTTGCCTTAAACACACCCAAAACCAAGCAAAAGAATTTCCCCCTCTAATCAAACAATGAACTTTACCTCCATTGTGGCTCTTAACTGCCTCCTTCAAAAATATAAAATAAAATAAATAAAGGCTGTAGTAATTATCTGGTGGAAGGTTGCTCACCCTGCTCTATAGGGTCAGCAACTGCAATCAGACGGCTTTTTAGTCAAAGCAATATCCTAGCTAAATGGTGTATCTATCCAGAACTAGACAGAATGCAATCTTGTGGTTTTGTGTTGAAGCTCAGGAGGACATTTGGGAAGTCATCACCTGGTTGAAAACTAAGAATGGCAACAGAAAGATTTTTGATACTAATTGGTAGTCAGCTTTCACAATATATTTGCACCTTCCAGCTGTGTAAATTAACTAGGTAAAGTGACACAACGTTGTCTCTGAGCAGATCACTTTGCCATTTCTTCATTATTCCATCACCTCTTGTTTCTTTTTGCTAAAGGCAAATACTGATTAACTGTCCAAAGGTCTGGATTCCTTCTAAGAAGAAAGAATCTTCTAAAAATATTCTTACTCTAAAAAGAATAATTGGTGCCAATCAGCAGTAACATTTGCAAATAAGTTAGTTGGAAATTAGAACAGCACAGAAATAGAAGAGAAAAAGATACATCAATATATATCGTCATATATTGCGGCATTTTAACAGCTGTCTCGTTTTAACCTTAGGAATAAGCCCAAGAAATAATTTGGTATCGAGCTCAAGCAAAGATTCTGCCCTACCAAATCCATGGCCAAGTTCTAGTTTGCCTAGAAAGACGTCAGCAACATCAGGCGGGATCACCAGGATGAATACCAGTAAGAAGCGTTACTGAAACCTTCTGAAAGATTTACTGAAGTGATTCTGATCCCCACCATCACCAGTTTTCTGAATGGGATACTTCTAAAAGATCCCTGAACCAAGATCTTAAAAGCATTCGAAGTTTGACTGAGTTCAGTGGGTACTTTTATCCTAATAATTCTGGATAGAATTGCAGTCTTCGATTTCTGATGAATTGGGCTTTTAAGGTTATGATGACAAAAACCACTCCTTTTTTAAATTAAGAGTATGCCTTTCATTATCAGTGCAGAAAGTTTGCTGGCTATAGTACAATCTTGGCCCATTGTTAATGTATTATATTTCATGCAGGTTGCTGCTTTATGTGACCTTGTTAGAGAAATGAAGTTACCTCTATGGCATTTTTTCATATGGGCTGGGGTTTATTACAAGGAGAATGGCTTCCAATAAGCATCCTTTTTAATGACGGTAGTGGGGATAGTGTCCCTTTAGAGATTGATGGCATGGTTTTTCCCCCATAAGGTATTAAGACAAGACCCTTAACATAAGCTCAAAATATATATAAAATTAGGCCTTATTATGCTGATTGAAATAATGTTTGCATTTGATGTTATGTTAATTAAATGTCAGTGTCTAACATATTTTGATTAGGCATTAACTGATGTTCCTTTTAAAGAGACAATTGCAAGTGGTGTATGGTGACTAAGGAATGTTTATCTTGACCTTCTGCCTTGATGCATCCCCCTTTGTTTTAATTTATTTTAGATGGCACAGGATCAAGTGGCCTACTGGGTGCTTATGTTCCTTCCTTTCTGAAAAAAGAAGTTGGCTCTGCTGGCCAGAGAGTGCAGTTGGCACCAATTCTTGATCCGTCTCCTGCAGATTCAACTTCTCGTAAGATCTGTCTCCCTCTGGAAATGATGTTATGCACTATGACAGAAAGGCCACAGCTCTAGAAAGTGCTTGGCTTTTCATTTGGGAAGTCTTCACAGTTCACAGTTTCTTGGGCTTCAACTCAGTGTTAATGGGGAAACCAGCCAGGCAAACCTCATGTTAATAAGTAACTGCTTTGAAAGGATCTTTTCTTTTGGAAACTTTTGACTTTCTGTGTTAAGACAGTCAAAACCAACGAGAAATATACCATGTTTCTCCAACCATACGACCTCCCCCAATAGGAAGACCCAGCATGTTTTCTAGGCATAAAATGAAATTAAGCCCCTCCCCCCAAATTTAGGCCTATTTTAAAACATGCAAAATGGGGGGGAGGGCGGGGGGACTTGCCGTTAGGAGCGCCCCGTGGGCAGCAATTCCTTGCCACCAGCTGCTCCTAATGGGTGATCATGGCAGAGTGCTGAGAGCTCCCTACTCCTGCCAAGCACCTTTGCGGCAGACCCAAGACCTTCAGTGCCCGCTGCTGTTGATATCCCTTCTACCCATGCCGCGTTTGGAGCTGCCACTTCCACGTTTGGATCACCACTGCTGTTTGGAGCTGCCGCTTCTGCATTTGGAGCTGCTGCTTCCACGTTGGGAGTGCTGCCGCTGTTTGGAGCACTGCTGCTGTTTGAAACTGCCACTTCCGCATTTGGAGCTGCTGCTGCGTTTGGAGCTGCCGCTTCCGTGTTTGGAACCCCACTGCTGTTTGGAGCACTGCCGCTGTTTGGAGTTGCCACTTCCGCGTTTGGAGCACTGCCGCTGTTTGGAGCGCCACCGCCATTTGGAGCGCCACCGCCACTCCAAACATGGTAGCAGCTCCAAACGTGGAAGTGGCAGCTTCTAACATGATGGTGATGCTCCAAATGGTGGCGGCACTCCAAATAGCAGCAGCACTCCAAACATGGAAGCGGCAGCTCCAAACGTGGCGGTGGAATGGGCAGAAGGGAAAGCAACAGCAGCGGGTGCCAAAGGTCTTGGGTCTGCAGGAAAGGTGTTTGGTGGGAGTAGGGAGCTCTCTGCGCTTCGCCATGATCACCGGTTAGGAGCGGCTGGTGGCGAGGCTGCCCGCAGGGTGCTCTAGATGAGGATGTAAGGGGGGGAATTAAGTCACCCCCAAAAAGATGGCCTAGCCGTTTTTGGGGGGCTCAAAAAAATATAAGACCCGGCCTTGTTTTATGAGAAACAGGGTAGATACTTATATTGTATACTCTATTATGCCTTGCACTAATGTACATGATAATGTTCTCTTTCAATAGAAGAGGGTATCTGCAGTTCATGGGGTTGAATGCTGGAGTCCAAAGAGGTCTCTGAGCTTGGTTGTTTGCCTGCAGGTTTTTCATTACCCAACTAGATAACATCACCAGCGCTAATGAGTATGGAGCTTGCCCTGTCAATGTTTGGTGGGGCTTGGTTTTCTCCTTCTTAGTGTCTCTTTGGAATGTTTTGTACTAAAACTTAGATAAGCTGAGATTAATACCCAACAAACAAGCAAGCAGCAAAACAAGAAAACCAAGAATCAAGAAAACATTGCCCTAATCAGAAAATGTTCTCTTCTTCAGTAGAGAACTGTGCTCTTGAGTATGACCAATGCTTTTTCTATAATTGGAACTTGGGAATTCATCTTGGTTTTTCTTCCTCCTTTTTAGAACATTTCTAGTTCTTATAGTAGCGAAGACTGCTTAGGCAATGCCCAGATAACTCTTCAGAAGCTAACAAAGCTATAGCTTTATAGCTCTCCTTATTACTATGAATGCCAGTAATAGAACAAGTTATTGGCATTCTCTGAGCTTGGTTGTTTATTGGCAGACATTTCATGACTAGGTAATGACTAGATAACCTCATCAGTGCTAGCTGATGATCCTAGCACTGATGAAGTTACCTAATTCGGATAATGAAATATCTGCAGGAATCAACCAAGCTCAGAGAGCAGTAAAGACCTCTCCTTTATTGATAAGTTATTGTAGGTAAACCAGAGATTGTCATTTTGATGGTGTGGCAGGGTGTTGTTGAAGCAGAGGTATAGGGAATGTGTTTTGTTCTTTTAAAACTCACCTCTAAGAGCTGCACAGAATAAGTCAAAAAACTCAGTGGAAAGATTTTAGTTTAGTTTGAAGAAAAATATATGGATTAAGCTATGTGGAAACTTAACACAGCTATTGCACTGTTGAGTTTCTCTGCGCTTGGCTTTTGGGTGGTAGATGTTTCATTGCCCAACTGCTGCCTTTTAGGGAAGCGAAGGTCATTCATTGGGAGGGTTATGCCTGCTCTGGTCCTGGGATGGATGGCAGATTTTATTTTGGAAGTGATTGACAGTGATTATTTATTGAGCTGAGAAGAGTCTATCTCTTACGGATATGTTGGTTCCCGCCCTGTTGTGATGGTAGGTGGGAATGACTTTAGGCGGCAGGAGGAAGACCCACAGTTCAATCTGATAACCGGCATCTCAGTCTGCAGGTGGGGTGGTAAAAAAACATGGGAAGCATTTCAGAAGGGACCCTTTCCAGAGACTAAAACGAGAGGAGATTGCAAGGTTCTGTTTAATGTAACATTGCAATAAAGATAGTGCTGAGACTACTGCTTGTGCCTCTTGTCTGGACTACCTCACAGGGCTAACACCTCTGTGACCAGCACCTGTGTGATGGGATGCCTACAGGGCTATCAACACCACCAATCACACAAGATGCAACATACGTGCAGATAAGATAGAACCACTACCAAATTCTTGTCGATTTTAATAATTAAAAAGGCACCCAGCATTTTGCTTCCTTTTTGATTAAATTGTTCTTAGGAGAAGAGCTCTTTCCTACCGTTTCCTCTTCTGATATGGAAAATCACCCCTCCCAATTATATTTTATTTGGGAAGGACAGTGTCAAAATCCGAGTAGATTTTGGATGAACCAAGACCCAACCGTGTCTTCTTCCATTCATAGAATTCTGAATCTAGTGCTTTAATTTCAAATAGGATGCTTTGAGTTACACATCTGATTGTCACCTTGATTTGCTCTCTTTTTCATGTTGTTCTTCATTTGTAGAGTACAGCTCCTTGAAGACTGTCAGACCTCATATTGTGAGGCCATCATTTAACATGTCTATGAAAAGCACACCAGGGTTCCTGCCGGCCCCACCTCCTGTTCAACCAGTCCATGGAAGGATTGACTGGTCTTCAAAATATGCTGCTCACCGCTGAATTACGGGATTGGAGCATGCATTCCATGACACTGGCTAAACGTCCGTTCTCCTGTAATATTTCTCTTCTCCATATTTTCTACGACCGAGACATTTCAGGACCTTTTAAGAGAGTTTACTTTTTAGTTGTATGTATTTGAATGCAAAGTTGTGTAACTTTTGTATTGTTCTTATTTTATGATTGAGGCATTTATTTTCACAGGACCAATGCACATTTGTATATCAGCATAGAATTGTGGGGAAAAAAAAATTTTTTTTTTTGTTCTGGGGGCTTTTTTAAATAATAACTTTTGAAATTCAAATTATTAGAAAGAAAAGTATTTTTTTCTTTTCTTTTTTGACCACATTTTATATAAAAGAATAAATGTAGCAATAAGGCAGTATTTAATATAATTAAGATATGGTGCATACTGTCGTGACATTTACCAAATATTCTATAAGTTAAGTTTCTGAATATGGTATGCTGGGCAAATAACCCACTGGGTAGCTACATTCTTTTCTAACTCCATAACTGAATAGCCACAGGGATGGTACTAAGCTTCACTTTTCTGTAGTAAAATATGAGATGGGCATTTTGTTTTTACATAACTGGGAATTATTAGAGCCAGTGTATAAAATCAGCAGAGCACAATCTTGACCCCAATTGTATAATTTTAGGATATAGGTGGTAAATGTACTTTTGGCAGGGAAAGAGGCGTTTTTTAAAATTATATTTTGAATAGTATTTGGTCAGAGTATCATATCTCTGTGGAATTCTAAAGTTACTGGTTGGTATAATTCACCAAAAGCATTACAACATGGTTCTGCTCATTGTTAATGGTAGTGAAATAGTAGCGTAGTCGTGTGCTAGGACCCCATGCCATTTCATACTTAACAGTAGCCTCGTTTCACAGTGAAAATAAATTTATTATAGGGAATCCTGCTTCAGTTGCGAGCAATATGTTTTGTAGCATAGTAAGTCTTGAAAACTATTTAAAGCAATATTAAATATGACAACGCTGGGTTTGTAGAGTAATATAATGAAGTATAAAGTATTAAAATAAGTACCAGCGGCAGCATCAGAGTTGAAGATTTTTATATATTCGTAGCCTACATTTTATTTTTCATTTCTTAGCTTTTCTTTTGCCCAAAGGCAATTTTGTTGCTTCACTAAAAAGTGAGTAGAAAAAATTTATTCCATATAATTAAAAGCTTACTTTCAGGAATAAGTTGGCATTGCTTATTTTTAAAGTATTTAGAAGTAAATTTCATCTTTTTCAGAAATCAACATAGATTTGTTTTTTTTTTGTTTTTTGTTTGGTACACCAGAAGTGGAAATCTTGGAGCTTTGGGATGGAAAAAGGTAATAAAAGTTACAGTGCGTTATTTTAAAGAAAAAAAGTCCAGGTGTTGAAGTTCAGTGGCTCTCTCTCTTCTTATGCTGAAAAATATTGACGAATTAAACTCGATGCATATCAATTCACAGAGAAGGCTGGAGGCTGCATCTTCTCAGGGAGAAATAATAATCCCAAATAAGCATTCCGGTTAAGTCTTGGATGTAGCATCCATCTCTCTTCTATAGTGCTGTTTTCTAGACCCCTCTGTCTGTTGCATGCTATTTGCTTCTTCTCTTTTTCATAAAACAGATAGAAAAGTTATTTGTATATGTTAAGTTTTCCCTATTAAGACGATTAGTTCAATAGCTAATCAAGTATCTGTCTTTTGTGCTGGATCTGAAAACTCCAGATTAAAGCTGGAAAAGAGCACTCCTTTGTTCTAACACCCTGTTGCATACCTTCTTCCTCATTGGTTGCAGCAGTTTTCCTCCCTGGTGCTGCTCAACTTGTGAGAAGCAACTGTATAGCAGAACTGTAGATATAAATCAAGGGTCTTCAAACTTAGCAAGCTGAAGTCTTCAACTCTCAGAGTTGCTGAGCTAACATGACGAGGAGGAATTCTGGGAGTTGACGTCCACAAGTCTTAAAGCTGTCAAGTGTGAAGACCTCTGATATAAATCATAATTGTTCAATTGCAGTTGATTACTAAAGACAACAATCAATGTCAAAGACAGCAGAAGTGCCTTGGAAAATAACATTTCTAACAAGGCTGGTCCAAGATTATCCTAAGACAACGGGATTTCCCACCCACCCCCACCCCCCAGAAACAGATGTGCTATATAAATTGATCAGCATTTTTGCTGAAGACAAAAATATGCAAACTCCCCTAGCCATCTTCACTGATATTGGATTTTATGCTTGTTCTATGTTGTAAAAAGAATCTGCAGTGTCTAAAAATATCTCATTGTCGAAACTGAAATTATCTACTGGTTACATTTGGCCATTAGTTCTTTTGAGAAACCACGAAATAATAAAATCATATAGTAGAATATGCACAAAACAATCTATTCCACTATAGGCCTCCATAGTTCTTCTTTCTTTCTAGAAGGAAGGAACCTAGAAAGAAAAAAAAACTGAGACTTTTTAAAAATTCTATAAAAAATCTGAGATGATTTAAGAAGTATGCATGCCTAATTAGTGGTAAAATTAGATTTGAATCAGATAAAAACTTGCAAACTTGTTCGTATACTCATGCAGCAGATCAGAACTTGAAATATAAATACTCCCTCTATCTTATTTTAAAGTTAATGCAAATTTATCTATTTTTCATTTATTTAAACCATCCTTAATATAATTACTCATTGTAATACATTCTTGGGAAGTTACTTATGACTTAATAAAATTTCTGTCAACCTATTGAGTAATATTTATTCATATCATTAGTTGAGGATATGAAAATAATTCTGTTAATACTTCTGTCAGTACAAATTTATCAGTGTTGAATAAAGTTACTATATTGCCATCACAAATCTACGGCTTGCAGATCACCGCAGTCATAGAAAGCTTTAGGTATTTTTTAAAAATAAAAGTATTGTGTCCTCTGGTTGAGAACAGTAGGTATAAAAAGTATTAAAGTTTAATTTGAATAAGCAAGTATATCTGACAAATGAAAATTGTCCATTTTTTCCTCCTCTGTGTGGTTGTGCTTGTTTCCTTTTCTATCTCAGAAAGTGTTTTCCAAAATAAAATTATTTACACTTTGTTGATTACTGTTTCATAATTTCTGCATTAACAAATATGGTTATTATTTTCTAAATACTCTTTGAAAAGAAATGCACTTTGAAGTCTTCTGCTTGTATAATTGAAAATATATAATCACATTTTCCAAGATGATTTATTGGCTCTTAGGAAATAAATGATGTAAGTATTTATAATCAAAATAAGTAAATTTTAACAAGTCAGATAGCTCTCAAAATTAACCAGCTAAGAGCCAGTTGTGAGTTTTTATGATAGTGAGAAATGTTGGATTGGATGAGGTGGATAATGGAAGGGATGGATATTGGAATTAAAATCTGCAAAGCAACTAAACATAAGAAAGTTTTTGTTGTAGGCAAAAACTTTTTTTAAAAAAAAAGCTGATAAAATTATGGCAAAATGCCAACCCAATGCAAATTTTAGATGTTCAAGTAGTAAAAGACTCATTTTCCCAAGTTCAAAAATCCATAGATGTGGTATGTGTAACCATGTAATACAGACATCTGCTATTTGAGAGAAAGAAAATTATGGTCTTTACAAAGTATTAAAGTACAGAAACACCACACTAACAACAAAGATACATAAGATCAAGGCTACAGTTTTTTCCAAGCCATATGATGCCTATGGAAACTTGATCATCCAAAAAGCTGAATAAAAAAATCTGGGCCATTGTCCTGGGGAAATTGCTGAAGATACCTGAACCCCAAGAACAGCAAACAATTCAATAAATAATTTGGTATGAATTGAAATACCAGTATGCTTAGGAGAAGAGCTAATAATGAAACTAATGCTTCAAAATGCTGAAACAAGACCTTGTGTGGAAGGCTCCCATTCACAATTTCTACTATTCAGTGCATCAAACTACCTCCTAAAAGTTGTCACCGCAAAGTATCTTTAGGGGGACTTTTGCTGACCACCAGCTGTCTCCCACATCATTTCAAAAGGCCACCTGATCCTGCAGGGTACAGAGTGATGTTCATGGTATGAATGACAAGCAAAAACGAAAGATACGTATAGGAAGTAAATGTTAGGGATGTAGAGGTGGCAGACATAACTACGTACCACTGTAGAGTATTAAGTACCTCTTAGATACTCAGAGTATGCAATAATTGCCATTTTATTAGTAAACCAAATGTTCTAACTGAACAGGATGAAACTGACAATTTCTAATGTTCAGCAAAGAGAAGTATACTTAAAGTGTTATTTGTTTGACTTGTTACTTAAATTTCTATGCCATTTGTTCCAACATTTCTTGGGTATTGTTTACCCAATGGAAATACCAGTGTCATGACAAACACAAGACAAATGTGACCCTTATTGGGAGATGTAAAAATCTAAATAATCGGTGCTGGCCAGCTTTGGCATCCTTAGGCTCAACTGGTTGGGAATAGAGGCAATTTTAGATAAAGCATGTATACACACACACACACACCCCTACCTACTTCCTGATAGAAAACAAAGAAGAGAAAGGAAATTGGACGGAAGAAGAAAGGATAGCTATATTGGGAGGGGAAGAAAAGGGAAAGGGAATGGTGATGGGGTAAAAGAAAAAAGTAAGTAGGGAGCAAGAGAGAAAAAGAGGTGTCCTGTCTATATGTGGGAGATGACCAGGCTGAGCCCGAGGGAGGGGTCAAATGCATCATCAGTTTCAGGTCCTTTTGTGCTCACAAGAGATCTAAGTCCAGCCCACCTTGAATTCCATTGACTCTACTACTGCTAATTTGACTGTTAGTAGTTCAGATTCTTGTAGAGAGCTTAAGCTTACAATAAACCTTTATATTCATTTGAAGTGCCTGGATTTCCTGATTTCCCCTGTGCTTGACGTAGACATTACCAAATGTACATTCCTGCCTTGCAAGCAGCTGCTAATTCACAATTATTTCTGCTTTTTATCTATTCTTGGTCATGACAATAGTGATAGTTGAGTTTTGTGTCTGGATGCTGGATTTGGTGGATAAGAAAAGAAAAAAGCATTTGCAGCCACTTGTACCTCTGCACATTGATGCAGCCCTTTTTAGACGAAAGCTACTCTCCCCAGCCACGGCCAAAGGTTACTCATCAACTTCTCAGCCTGATCTGTCTTGGTGAAAGTTGGAAAGGAGGAAGAAACTTAACGAATGCAGCCTTAGACTCTAGAGAAAAGCATACATTATATAGCCAAAGAAAACCTAAGCTTTACAGAAAGTCTTACAAATTCTGCTTGAACCTGAAAAAAAACGCTGAAAGCAATTATGTATATTTATATAAGATATAATGTATACAATGTTATACTCGCACAAGCACGAAGCCAAAAGCACCAGCCTGAAGATGGCAAGTAAAACCTCGTGGAAACGTTGCCAAGATGCTCTCAATCTTACACGGGAAAAGAGCTGAACACACCAAGACCTGCATTCCTGTACCCGTGAAAATCTACGAAAAATATACGGTACATATATATTAGTAGTATTTATAAAATAGTATAGAATAATATAAAATAATATATAATACATTTATATATATATAAACATAATATAAAATAATATAAAATAGTATACTATATATGTTTTATTATAGCAAAGAGAAATGGTAGCTGTGAAAGCTGAAAAAAAAGAATGGCAAACTGCCACATGCAGCGCCTCACTTGGATGTGTCTGGAGTCTTGGAAGCTTGACTACCCTACGTTCTCCTACAAATGGACCTTGAGCTTGTTTGGAGGTTCTAGCAGGGGAGCGCAGCTATCGTATACCCTTGACCGAAGATCGGTACACTCCTTCTATCTGGGATGGTCGTCCTCTTCCACCGAGCGCGCAGCTTCGGGAGGGACGCACATGGAGCGGTGAGGGAGGAAGGGGACACCCGCCTAGCCAGCCAGATCAGCCGAATCAACCCTGGCGATCAATGGGGTGACAGATGTCGCAGCCAGATCGCCCTCACATCCAAGGAATATAGCATACCACATACTTATATGAAGAACAAAATACAGATATCTTCGAGGTTATGGTGGTACTGCTTAGCCGATTCTTTTTTTTGTTTGTTTACTGTAGCTATGTATGCGTTGCAAAAAAAAGAAACCGTGAACGAACAGCGATGATTGTAAGCTTCAAAGTCCGTTTCGGCCGTCCTTAAACGCGTCCCCAAAAGGCTTTGAGAAAAATGCAAATTAACCGTTTTAAGCACCTCCTCCTGGCGTTCCCTCCCCGCCCCCGCGCTCCAATCCGCTGCTTGAGGAGGAGGAGGAGGAGAGGACCGCCTAGGGTCTGCGGCGGCTCCTGACAAAGTTGAGCGGCAGCGAGAAGTAGACGCGGATCGTGCCTCTCCGTTCTACGAGTGGTTCGGGAGCAGAGGCTGGGAAGGCTTGGAAAGGGACCGCGAGGTGCTCTTCTGCTTGGAGAGGTACTGGATCCTGTGGAGAAATGAAGCGCTAATGAATAGGCTTGAGAAGGATGATCGCTAGCTGCGATGGTTGCTTGGTTTGATCGTGGGAGATGTTTTGTTAATAGAGTTGGAAGGGGTCTTGGAGGTCATCTAGTCCAAGCCCCTGCTCGAGCAGGTTTGAGTGAAGGTAATTATTTGGGGGCGGGGGGCGGGCGGTGGACGGTGAGATGGAGCTGCACATACAGAACTTAGACGGAAGCTTCATCCCTTTGGGCCGGGGTCCCCAAACTTGGCAACTTTAAGACCTCTGGGAGTTGAAGTCCACAAATCTTAAAGTTGCCAAGTTTGGAGACCTCTGCCTTTGGGTTTCAGAATTAGGCTTTGCAACTCGAGAGTGATCGTGGGACACATTGTAGTGTGTCTGTGTATGTAAAAGTGAAGTGGGGTGGTGGTACACGGTATAGACTACCAGAGAGGGTGTTTGAGACAATGGCAGGTGTTTTAAAAAAATTTTTTTTCTTAAAGTCATCCTTTGGCTGATTTCTTCCCATCTCCTACTTCTTTCTTAAGAATTCCCTGGGCATCGAATTAATTCAAAGGAAGTAAAAATTTGTTTCTGAAAGAAAAGAGCGTAACCAGGCTGGGTTTTTAGTGAAAACACAGTACTGTATATTGGTTTTATCAGCTCCCCCAATATACTTTTTGTAATTAAGTGAGCGATGACCTTTGTTTGAAATGCTCCGCTTAGCATTCTATTTAGAATGGAATTTACCCTTTTGCTTCCTCTGATTGCCCACATCATTTCGGAAGAAGTTCGTAAAAGCCCCTGAGATGCGTCAAGACTTTGTTCAAACATTTTGTTCGTGTGTTCTCTCTGCTTGTAAAGAACACAGTAGTTAAGATCTTATCTGGAGCTTTGTAGATATCACACTATGCTTAGTCCTGCAGTCAAACAACTGTAGATGTTACACACAAAATCATCTTTAGTTGTTATTCCCCGTAAAACAGCTAATAGAGCTTCAAACAGTTCAATACTTTGGCCTTTTTATTTTGGCATAAGAAGATTTCTACAGCAAAAATAAATGTTATTTCAGGAGTTAGTTCTCTCCATTGCCATCACTCTTGTCCATGAAGATGATAGGAGAAAAGCAAATATTGGCAGGCCAAGTGAGTGACTTCAGATCTCCTTTTCAGATCTTCCTTTCTGCTTATGAATTTTCGTGCATCTGATCTTTATCTTTCTTTTTTTTTAAAAATAGCTTCAATAGCCATCCCTACCACGCAGATGGTAATTGAAGTAGTTTGCCTCACAGAGCCCTGGCACTCCCATTTCCAAACTTAAAATAATCCCCTCCCTATCAAGAGCAAATTGTATTTTCAAAAACCAGACTTTTTTTTTTCCAGTGGCCGGATCTTAAAAGGATTTTCTGAAGCTCCCCTGGACCTTAAGTAGTGGAAGACCACTGATTACTACCCTAAAGCTTCTGCTGCTTTGCCATGTCATTGTCATAAGTATCACAATTGTCATACTTGGTCACTGTTCTTCAGAAATTATGTATCTGGATTGATTGATGGATGGGTAGATTGATTCAAAGCCTCCCATCTTACATATGTAACTCTGGGCAGCTGATAACAATTGAAAACCAAAAAGGAATAAAGAGTTATAACTCAATAATTAAAAAACATTAGGGGGGGGAAATTAAAGTAATTTAAAATGTAATTTGCCAGAGGGCATAATCCGTACAATATATAACAAAACAACTACCTAATGGGTGCCATAAAAACACTGGATTCCCCCAGGTCTGAAGACAAAATCATGCCTTAAGAGCTTTTCAAATGGCCAATAAGGTGAAGGCCTGTAGCAGAACAGGTTCTCCCACTGGATCCCATCAGATGACATTCCTTTAGTAAATGGGACCTGTAATATGTCTTTCCTGCTGACCCTGAAAGGAAGGGTAGATGTAATTTAACAGATAACCCGGCCCTTTGCTAGGGGATTACCATCTTCTTGAACTGAACCTGGAAGCAAACTGACAACCAGTGCAACTTGTAGAACAAAGGTGTTATCAGGCATTGATCAAGGAGTACACAAAACTATCCCCTACTACTGAATTTTGCACCTGATTGTCTTGTCGGGGAGAGATTGGAGGACCAGGAGCAAAGGTCAAGCGGGTAATGAGTATGAGAAAATGAATGTTAGATGTGAACAATAAGATCCACACGTGAAGAGTTCCATTAGCTATTTTATTGCTCATGCCTTTTACACAGGAATCTTCCCAAACTGGTCATTTGCATCTGGGCCAGATTAGATATGGTTCATTCAAGAGGGGGAGAGTCGGGTGGTCAGACTTCGCCTTCTTGTACCTATATAAGGATTCCAGCCTAATTCCCTGCTTGACTTCTCCCCCTGGCTTGCCAGTCTCTCTCTGGCCCAATTATAGTGTCAGTGTTCCAGCAAACCTCCATTCCAATCAGTAACCCCAAGACAAACATATCTCAAAAGTACCTTTATTAGAACAGCACTTGGCACATCTGTGGAAGCCCGGATCTAAACATTTTCGGGCTTTCCACAATTTCCCAAACTACAAATCCATCCCCCCCTTGGTTGTCATCACATCACATGGTTGTCATCACATCACATGATCCATCCCAAAGTAAGATCCTTATTTCATCCTGCGCCATACTAAATGACCTTGAACTAATAAAAGAATTTTATTTTGTCTACTTAGAGCTACTTAATTGAAATCACCCCCCCTCCCACTATCTCAGACTATGTGGCAGTGTGTGTTAGGAATAACATAGGTTACCTAACGTAGTTTGGGTAAAATAATATATATAAACTATGATTGTAAGTTTAAGTGTGTGTCACTTTAAACTGCAAAGCATGTAATTTTGGGTGCGGTTGTGAACCGCCATAAGAGGGAGCAAGAGAACCTGATTGATTCCTGACGATTGCTGATGATTGACTGGTTTGATGGATTGATGGTTTGTTAACTGCGTGTTTCCCTACTGCTGAGCTGCTGAACGTTGGAGGAAGAAAGGAGGTTTTGACTTCTTCATATCTCTACTGCAAGGAGATATATTCCTGGACTGATATTTGTAAGTTTACTGACCTCTTTTTCGACACTGGAATTTGCAACTGAATAATCCCCGGATGGACTGAATTAGTGAATGATATATGGACTGTTTTGACTATGCTAAAACTCTTGCTGGAATAAACTATTTAACTAGCACGGTGTATCTGTTTTACTGAGTGTAAGCTACAAAAACATTTATCTCACATATTTTGCCTGCCTGCCTGACTGCCATGCAGATTCTGCTAGGGTGTATCCCTAACAGTGTGGAATATGGCTTCCAAAGCTGACAGAGAGGGGCGGGCAGCACCAGAGAATCTTTTAGTTTCTAGGGAGATAGGAGCTATGGTTTGATTGCTTTTGAGCAACAAAGATAGGAGCTATGGAGAGCTCCCCCAATTCTGGATCCACTGCACCGAGAAGAAAACCAGTTCAAGTGTGCATCCAACCCTGTATAACAGGGATCTCCAAATTTGGCAACTTTAAGACTTGTGGGCTGAGCAATTCTGGGAGTTGAAGTCCACAAGACTTAAAGTTGCTAAGTGTGAAGGCCCTTGCTGTAAAAAGTAGATTAAAGTCCCTTCCTTTTTTTCTCATGCTTGTTTCAAAGGGAGCTCCTGTTTTTTCTGCGAAATCTGTAAAGAAAAAGAACTGAAGGAAGCAACTACTTATTTATCTGAAAGAGACTACTAGAGCTCCTAGCTAAGCTTTCCAAGTTGAGTTCACACATATTTATGAGTTCTCCCTTCCTTGTTATCTAGGCATGTTGCTTCCAGGTTTTGTAAATCAGTGGGCTGTTTTCATACCTTTCTTATCAGAGAGCTCTACAGGAATGAATTTGCTTTCCAGTCATTCAGTCTAGATGGGGCTTTAGAAAATGACTGATGGGTTGTCCTTTTTGTGACATTTATGCTAGACTGATTAGATTGACTGTAATAATTTGGTTATAATTTGAGCTCGGATTGCTGATGAATATTGCTGTGGATTGCAGGAGAGGGCAAGATGCTTTTTCCTGTTCTTAATCGTTCCTAGTCATTCCAGATACAGAAAGACAAGGATTTTCAAGGGTTTTCAGGAGGGCAGCCATAGTTCACCTGGACTTATGCTAGTTGTCAACATCACTGCAACCGTAGGCCTTTTGGGTTGAGTCTCCGACTTGAACGCATGCAAAAAGCTTTGGTTTGCATTGCTTAGTATACCACAACACACTTGAAGAACATACATTTTGCCCACTAAAAACCAGAGATTCAGTTACCTATGCTTAGTTTAGAAAAAAAAAAGTAGGTGTTTGACCATGTGGAGATTAATCAAGTCTTGCAAAAGAGATTGCTTTGAGATGGATCAGCCCTATATCCAGATCAGGACAAATATAGAATATAGTTCTATACACAGAACATTTTGTCCTATGTTGACACAGAGGCCTTGAATCAAGTTCAAGTTACCATGGACATCACTTCTGAATTAGCAGTTGCTTTACTGAGACCCAATTCTGTGTTAGCCCAATGCATACACAAAACAAAGATTATGTTAAATGGTATCAGTATTTCTATTAATAAAACTATTTGAGACATGTGTCTGATGAGATATCTTGATTTGATAAATTAGCTTTCCTCTGCTCTGCCTTTCCTGTGTTCATGTAACAGAATTATCACTTCATTACTTTTTGTTCTTTGTTTTGTTCCCTCCTCAGGCGCCCATCCCAGGAGATTAAGAAACAATGGCCGAGAAACCGAAATTATATTATTTTAATGGACGAGGCCGAATGGAACAGATACGGTGGTTGTTAGCAGCTGCTGGCGTAGAGGTCTGTGTTTCCTTATTTATAGAGCCAGAAGGCTGTTGGAATATTTTTGCCAATTTTTCTCCGAAAGAATCATCTTTTGGAATTTGAAAAAGCAAACCATTTTCAAGGAAAGATCTACAGGTAGTTCTCAACGTACAACCGCAGTTGGGGCCATAATTTTGGTTGCTAAGTGATGCAGTCCTGAAGTGAGTCATTGTATGACTGGACCTAATTTTATGACCAGTTATGACCATGTTTACCATGGTCATCATTAAGAGAACCCTGCTTAATGATATTGTTAAATGAATTTGGCTTTTCTAATTGATTTTGTTTGTCAGAAAGTGTCTGGAATGCTCACAAATTGCAACCACACGACTCCCAAGACACCGCAACGTTTGTAAATGTGAAGTAGTTGCCATGGGCCCTAATTGTGATCATGTGACGATGAGGGTAGTGCACCAATTTTGAGGATACTTTTTCTGAGGCCATCGTAACTTTAAACTGTCATTAAATGAGCAGTTATAGAGTCAAGGACTGCCTGTATGTTATGCATTGTAAATGTTTTGCTGTGGCCACATAACCTGTTTAGGAAGCTTAAACACAATAGAAGTGATTCCTTATAACCCTGCCAGTATATTTTTTCCTCTGTATCATTTTCCTCTGTCAAATTTTCCCTCTATGCAGCAGGAATTGCTTGGATTTTGGAAAGAGTAATGCTTGTTAAGAATCCAAACAGTGATATTTTAGATTCCCTACATCCCAAATCTAATGTCCTTGTTTCCTCAGAGTCCTCAATTCCAAGTTAGAGCTGGGTGATCTACACCCTGAAGTGAGGACAGGTAACATGAGGAGCAGAGGGCAATGCTTAAAGCAGGGGTCCCCAACCTCCAGACTGCAGCCCACTACCTTGAGTAGTGGGCCTTGAGCTGTTCAGAATCGGGCCACAGAAGTGACGGGCGAGCATACATGCATCCCCACTTGCACGAGCAGCGTGCGTGCACGCACTCCATTTGCACGCAAATGAAGCTGTGCACACATGCGCACTTGCCTGCCGCTCCCACAGAATCATCCCCTCTTTCCCCCCTTTTCCCCCCACCAGGCCGCAAAGCCAGAAAGGTTGGGGAACTTAAAGGACCTATTTTGCTGTGTGTGACCTTCTCTGCCCTTGACTCTCAGCACTAAAAGGATTCAACTTTCAGAATGTTGTGTTTCATAACATTCTCCAGTCTAGTTTGGTGAGGAGAAAAGCCAGCATGGCTATAGGTACATATGATCTCGACACACCCTACATACTTTGTGCCTTTGTGTATTCAGGATGACTAGTCTGAATTAATATATGAAGAGAACTGATATCAGAATTGCTGAAGTATAAGATAATTGTATTATGGGTTGTTGTTTTTTGATGAGTACAGGTAATCCTTGTTGAATGATCAACTCATTCAACAATGGGTTGAAGTTAAGGATATTGAATGAGGGAGACTTATGGCAGATCCTCAAAGCAAATTTGAGTGCTTGGCAACTGGCTCACAGTTATGACAGTCACAATGGCATTTGGTCGCCATTTGCAAATTTCACTGCTGGTTTCCAAGAAGCAAAGTCAAGGGGGAAGCTGGCAGGAGGTCGCAAATGGTGATCACATGACTGCGAGACGCTGCCTAAGGATGGGGTTTGCCCAACCATGGCAGCTGGGACTTCAGCAGCTGTCATTGTAAGTCGGCTCAGTCCTATGATGTCACATTTTATAACCATGTCACTTAGCAACAGAGTTGCCAATCCCAATTACCATCATTAAGCAAGGACTACATGTAATTGCTGCTTGGGGGTGGGGGTGGGGGCTTTCTAAGAGTCTTTACCTACTGGTGAGTTGAAATGCAATCCACAAATCCTTGACTCGACAGAAAGCTACTGAATAACAATGGGAAACTTGCTTGTCTGGCCTTTATTATCTGTTCCAAAGTTCATTCAATCACCTGCTTTGCCTCCAAAGAGGTCAAAGCGTAAGAGATTGAGTTACCTGTCCTTGGAGGGTGTGAGGATTAAGTGGGGAGATCTTGCAGCTACAGTACAGCTAAGGAAGAATAAGCAAGCCTCATCCATCAGTGCAATGGGATGGAGGTAACATCGTGGGGATGCAAGCAGGGAAAAAATGGTGTTACAAGGGCATGATTATGCCATAGAGAAAGAGCGAAAGTCATGATTTGAAGTTCTAATCGTGGGGGGTGGATGGCAAAGCTTTCAAAATTGCTCAAAATTTAAGCCAAGATTTCGCACACTAGGGAGCTTTATTGTAGAATGTGAGAGGATAGCTACAACATCTCCAGGCTTTGGGGTGGGAGAGAACATGTGTTGGGTACACTTGTGATATCAGCATTTGCTCATTGCCAAAATGGCGGCCAAGGCAACGTGCACATGTGACACAATGCCCTGGTTGTCTTTTTTCTCTCTTTAACAATATGCGCCTAGGTAGCGGGCATAGTTAATGATTCTAACTAGATTTCTCCTGGATCCCAATGCTTCCCTTTCTTTTTCTCTCGTCGTCCTGTATGAGTGGCTTTTAAGGCTCAAGTGATATTTTCTGTCCTCAGTTTGAGGTTTGAAGTTTATATCTAAAGTGCTAGAAATATTTTGCAAAGTCCCTAATACAAGTAGCGGTCAACAACATAATTGAGTCCAAAATATATATAGCTTGTTAAAGTGAGTTTTGCCCCATTATATGATCTTTCTTACCACAATGAATCACAAAAGTGGTTAAGTTAGTAACACTGGTTGTTAAGTGAATCTGGCTTGTCCAATGACTTTGCTTGTCAGGAGGTTGCAAAAGATGATCACATGACTCTATACACTGCAACCAGCATAAACATGAGTCAGTTGCCAAGTGTCTGAATTTTAATCACATGACCATGGGAATGCTGCAATGGTCGTAAGTCTGAAAAACTGTCATAAGTCACTTTTTTCAGTGCCATTGTAACTTCGAACTTCGAAATGAACTGTTGCAACTTGAGGACTGTCTGTACATTAGGATTTTCCTGAAGGTTTATGAGCTGTGCAAAAGATTTGAGGGTGGAGTGAAATGGGGCGTGTGATGGATGCAATCTTTCCCCCATTATTCAATACTGCATTTAACAGTGGCAATTTTGTGGATCGTGTAAAAGGCTGAAAAGTAGGATATGCATTTTGAACCACACAGTACATGATTTAGAAAGTTAATAACAGACAATTACATCTTTTTGTCTTGTAATGCATGTACTTTATGACTAGCTTTTTCTAGTTAATTGTGTGGATCTGACTTGCATAACCCAAAAAAAGAATGTCAAAACTCTTGGTTGTATTGGAGAGGAAAGAGTCAAATTTCAAGGTACTTGAATGACTCTATGTGAAGCTTTATCTTTATTTAAAATTTTGTCAGCTAGTCTTGGCTAATTTCAAGTATAATTCTGATTAAAATTGGCTTGCAAAAACCCGGCTTACTAAAAGTTACTCTTTTCAAATATACAATATTCAATATAAATATACAAGCCTCCCTGAAAGATAATTCAGTTCTGTTCTGAGGTACTTGATGTTCAGATATGGTTATTTGTAGCAGTGGTGGGATTCAAATTTTTTTACTACGGGTTCTATGGGTGTGGCTTGGTGGGCATGGCAGGGGAAGGAGACTGTAAAATCTCCAGTCAGAGGTGGTATTTGCTGGTTCTCCAAACTACTCCAAATTTCCACTACCGGTTCTCCAGAACTGGTCAAAACCTGCTGAGTGCCATCTCTGATTTGTAGACAAAAGTTTGGGGATTCTTCTCTGTGGATTGCGTTCAGTTATGAACTGAATTCTAAAAGCAATTTCCTCTGTGTCTTTTTTTCTGTCTTTTAGTTTGAAGAGGAATTTTTTGAGACCCGAGAACAATATGAGAAGCTGCTTCAAGGTTATTTGTGATGAAACTGCAAATATTTGGCTGTCCCAATGGCACTGAATTTCTATTTGGATGGAAACAAGTAGATGTTTTAATTCTTGAGAGATGGGGAAGAACAATGCATAATAAAAATGGTTACATTTTTACTCAGGCGATAATCCATCATGACCCAATGCAAGGTTGGGAAGCTGTGGCCTTCTAAGCCAGGGATTGTCCAACTTTTTTAGAACACAAAACCTGTTAGTTTTTTTTTAACCCCAATATTAATTAATATTAATTGATTAAGAGGAAAAGCTCTGCTGATGGAAAAAAATTGCTCCATTTGAGTGAACTTTTGGGGGGCTTTAGTATCTCACAGAACCCTTTCAAGTTTTGCTGCAACACAGAGTATATCCATGGATTGTAGCCTGATAAACTCTAAACATTACTAATGATTTCCAGATGTTGAGTTACAGCTCCCAGTCTGGCTGATGGTGAAGAATGCTTGGGGGCTGTAACGCAACATCTGGAAGGGCACCCAATCTCTGCCCTTGAAAATGTAAATTATCCTACACTTGTTGGGAGGAAAGGATCGGTTTCTGCCTATCAAATTGATGTTTCTTAGTTTTATGAAGGCACTATCTGAAGCCTCCGTCAACCAGATGTTAAAATTTTGCAAGATTTTATATTTAGAATAACTACAACTCTTGTTTGCTGGTGGATGTTCTTGCAGTAGCTGAAAGTAGTGTTGCCCTGACTTTGGAATGCAATTCTGGCTCAATGGCTCAATTTGACTTCTTAATTTGACTACTAAAAATACACTCTTTATAATAGAGTATCAAGTCTTCATTTTAATTGTCTTTAGTTCCTGTGTGTCTGTGTATTGTTTCTTTGTCTTTTAAATTCTGGTTTTAAATCTCTGGTTTTAATTCTGATTTTATGTTGTATTGTAATCCAGATGGAACATTATGCCGTATTCTTTGTATCCTTGAATGCTTACATTCACTGCCTTATTTGGACATCTTTAACTGAATGTTACTACATGTTTATTTTTCAAAACTTTGTTTGCAATTCTGGTTGGATGACCAGTACGGCACAGAACATATTTGTTTGCATTATTAAGCTATGGTTATTCTAATAACAAATTGAATGAGACTCTAGGAGAGCCTAAGCACCTGCTGTGTGCATTTCTACATTTTTAAATTGCAAACAGAATGGGGGGAAAAACCCTGCTTGAAAAATGAAGGAATAGATATCCCATCTCCGAAAACATCTGGAAACACATGGGAATATACAGATGCATTTTTGTCCTGTAACTTTTTAAACAGGGCTCTTGTTCTCCTGACACGTTCCTTAAATCAGCTGTGTTAAAATCCCAAATATAATGTGGGTAGACAGCTGTAAGTTTCAAGGATACTCTCTTTTTGTCTAAACAGAAATCTGAGAAGCAGGGTGTGTGTGTCTTTCATGCAATGCATTGAATAATGATATTGTTTGCTGTGTGAAATCCGTTGTGGCTTGTAAACAAGTTTTATTGCTAAGCCTATGGGGCGAAACCATCCTTATTGCTTTATTGTGCAGATCTAATAACAGAATAGCAAAACCTATATCAGTTTAATGAACAATTTCTTTATATCTGTATTCTAATAATAGGCTGCAACAAGCATAAAATGACCTTGGCTTCTCCTGGCTTCTGTCCTGTTCTGTGCTTTGTAGGCAGAATATTTGACATTTTGCTGTGTTCTTCTTCTTTCCAAAGATGGCTTCTTCCTGTTTCAGCAAACACCCATGGTGGAAATGGATGGGATGAAGCTGGTGCAGACACGGGCCATTCTCCGTTACATTGCCACGAAGTACAACTTGTATGGGACCAACTTGAAGGACAGAGCACTGTAATGTCCCCACTGTATTTAGCTAACTTGAAATTTCAGCTGGAGCCCTGTCTATTGTCCCTGCCTTTGATTCAGTCACATAACAGCATCCTTCTTGCTGAAATAAATTGTGGCCCACTCCGTAAAATGCTACGTAAGCTGGTCCACCATGTTGAACCATAAAGCTTGTTTAGCAACCCATGTTACTTTTGCTTGCAGGCCCATGCAGCTAACCAACCACCTGTGATTTTGCCAGCCGGGCTCCATCATGTTTGTTTGTGTGATTTCCCTGTCCCTCAGCCCCCGCATTCCTTCTGGGAAGCTGAAACTGAATGTAAGCACAACATATAGGACAGTTGTTGGTGGAGCCATTGGGCAGAGCCATGCATATCTGTCACTAAACAAACTTTGTGGCTTAACGCAATGCACAGGTGCAGCTTCTCACATTGGCATGCAAGCTGTGAGTAACTCAACCATTGGGCTAGGATTATGCTTCAGAATACTTCTTTGCTTATGCCAAAAGAAAATTTACCAGGGCTGGTCCTTGTGTGTGTGTGTGTCTTTAATTATTTGACTTAGAGAAACTGAAGTAGTATGAATTTCTCCCAGGGTTATGCATAGCTACTACCGCCATCCGCTATGCATTTCCCACCGGTCACTTGGAATCCAAGGAAGAATAAACATCTTGCAGCTGCAAATCAAGTTTTTAACTCCTTGATTAGATATTACTTCTGACCGGTAAAGCTATCTGGTTAAATAGATTTCCTGGAAAATTTGTTCATGTAGAGGCATTTAAAAAGCTAAAATTGGGGGATATTCAGTTTTTTTAAAACCAGACTACACGTATTTTAGAATTTTACTGCAGTTATTGTGTGTGTTCTTTTCTTCAGCATGATGGCCAATTGGTGATCTTGCTAAGAGAGCATTCTGAAAAAAAGGACTCAAGAATTGGAAGTCATCCACGCTTGACAGATTGTAACATAAGCGCTCAGACTGATGCAGGATATTTTGTCTTCTTAGGATTGACATGTATGTGGAAGGAACAACGGACCTGAGTCTCTTTATTTTGTCCTTCCCTTTCTTGACGCCAGAGGATCAAGAGCGCCAACTTGTTACTATTAAAGAAAAAGCAACAAAAAGATATTTTCCCGTTTATGAAAAGGTAAGTGTTACTAAAGAAATGTTTTTAGTTCAAGAATCAGCCCCACATAGCTTCCAGATGTTTTACAGGTGCACTGCAACTCCAACAATCTCTTGCCTGGGTGGAAGTGTTGGAAGGATTTAAAACATCTGGAAAGCATCAAGTTCCTCACCTCTGCCTTACAGCAGGGTTATGCAGTGGTATTTTTGTTCTGTTTGAAGCCTGGACTTGTCTTGAGAGGTGTGCTGAATCCTGTACTCAGAAATGATGTATATAATGGAATGGAATGGAATGGAACAGAATAGAATAGAATAGTTGGAAGAGACCTTAGAGGTCTTCTAGTCCAACCCCCTGCTTAGGCAACAAAACCCTGTACCATTTCAGACAAATAGTTATCCAATCTCTTCTTAAAAACTTCCAGTGTTGAAGCATTTACAATTTTGGGGGGCAAGTTTAATTAATGATTAATTGTTCTAACTGTCAAGAAATTTCTCCTTAGTTCTAAGTTGCTTCTCTCCTTGATTAGTTTCCACCCATTGCTTCTTGTCCTGCCTTCTGGTGCTTTGGAGAATAGCTTGACTCCCTCTTCTTTGTGGCAGATATTGGACACTGCTATCATGTCACCCCTAGTCCTTCTTTTCATTAAACTAGATATACCCAATTCCAGCAACTGTTCTTTTTATGTTTTAGCCTCCAGTCCCCTAATCATCTTTATTGCTCTTCTCTGCACTCTTTCTAGAGCAGGGAAGTCAAACACAAGGCCTGCGGGCCACATGTGGCCTGCAATGTGGTCAGATCAGACCCTCAGGGCCATCCTGGAAAATATAAGGGGCCAGCCGCATTGCTTTGGCCTGGTCCACCCAATGCAAAGAGGAAACATGCCAACAGTCTGGGGAGTGGCATCAAGTTGGCCATGCCTACCCAGTTGGCCTGACCCACCCAGTCGGCCATGCCCAGTGATTGGTATCAAGCTGGCCACACCCACCCATTTGGCGACACCCACGCAGTTGACCATGCCCACCCACCTGCCCAAGATCAGCCATAGCTCTGATGCAGCCCTCAATGAAATTGAATTTGATACCCCAAGAGTCTCAACATCTTTTTTTTACATCATGGTGACCAAAACTGGATGGAGTATTCCAAGGCATTATAAAGTGGTATTAACACTTCACGTGATCTGGATTCTATCCCTCTGTTTATGCAGCCTAGAACTGTGTTGGTTTTTTGGCAGCTGCTGCACACTGCTGGCTTATATTTAAATGATTGTCCATTAGGACTCCAAGATCCCTCTCACAGTTATTATTATTGAGTGAGATACCACATATATTGTACCTGTGCATTTTGTTTTTCTTGCCTAAATGTAGAACCTTACTTTTTTCACCACTGAATTTCATTTTGTTGGATAGAGCCCAATGTTCAACTCTGTCAAGATCCTTCTGTATCTTAAGTGTATCTTCTGTATTGGTTATTCCTGCCAGCTTCTTCTTGTCTGCAAATTTGGTGAGTTCTGTTAAGGTATTCCCCGTTAGGAGAATGAGTGCACTCAGGGAAATGTAGTGAGAGTGGTGAGGAATAACACACAACCAGAACACAGATACACCGAATAGTAAAATGTAGGTTCTACTTCCAGTAAATGGGTAAACAAAGTCCAATAAACAGCCTAAATCATACATGGTTAAAGTAGGTAGTATTCAATACAATCAGTTCAGGGATAATCCAAAAACGAAGTCCAGTATCATAAACAAAATTCAGTAAACGGAGTTTGCTAACAGTTTGCAAGACTCACAGCAATCCAAGCAGAATGACGATCAGGCAAAAGGCAATAGGAAAATTCAATAAGAAAGCAAACCAGGTTTCTGGCTCCATCTTACGGCCATCGGAGGAACCTCAGCCAATCACAATTACAGCACTCTCTTAAAGATACAACAGTATCAAATAACTATCCTGGTTTATATATTGCCAACCCAACTGTTAGGTAACTATCATTCCTAACAAGTTCCCCTTGTGCAAATCACTGATGAAAATGTTGAAGAGTACTGGGCCTAAAACAGAGCCTTGGGGTACCCCCACTGCATACTTCCCTCCATGTAGATGCATTTCCATTGAGGACTACAAGTTGAGTCCAGTTGGTCAGCCAATATATGAATCCACCCCGTGGTTACGCTATCTAACCCACATTTTTCTATCTTATCAAATAGTAGGCTATTGTCTATCAAATGCCTTACTGAAGTTCAAGTAAATGATATCGACAGCACTCCTCTGGTCCACTAATTTTGTCACTTTGTCACAGAATGCAATAAGATTTGTCTGGCATGATCTGTTTTTGACAAACTCATGTTGGCTTTGGTTATTACTTTGCTTCCAGGTGTTTGCTGATTCATTAAACTATGGAGGGGTATATAAGTCTAAGTGCTATTGCTATAATGAAAAGGGGAGAAATATGGCTATGGTGTTCCTTCTGAGCAATATATGACAGTGAAACCATCATTTCAACACTTTTGTTCTGCATACTAAATGAGTCATTCATTTCTTATTTTACTCATAGAAGATCTCTTCACTGGAATCTTGGAGACAACTGGGTGGCTGCTGTTAGATTTGGTCTAATCCTCTTGCCCTTACAGGTGCTGAAGGATCATGGACAAGATTTCCTTGTTGGCAATCGGTTTAGCTTGGCCGACATTCATCTCTTTGAAACTATTTTAATGGTGGAGGAAAAAGTCCCTGCTATTCTAAATGAATTTCCTCAATTGCAGGTATGCGAAAATGAAGTCTTAGTATTCCTTTAAATTTAAAGCCTATGCCATGAGTTTGAACAGAATTTTATCAAATGGATTAAACGTGGTTGGTATTACGTGTATATATTGTGACTTGTGTCATAATTGTACCTTTTGATTGTTTAATGCTAAAGTCCAGTTGATGAAAGTGTTTCATCCTCCCCACTAGGCTTTTAAAACAAGGATCAGTCACATTCCCACAATTAAGAAGTTTCTGGAACCGGGAAGCCAGAGGAAACCTATCCCTGATGGTAAATATGTGGAGACCGTGAGAAATGTCCTCCAGATGTATCACCAGCTGAAGCCAAGTCCTTGACATTCCATCGAATTGTTCTGACAATTTCAGAATTATAGAATTTTGTAATACGTCCAAGACAAAAGCCATGCGACACATAGTACTGGAGACACATAGTTTACAAGAGTATCACACAACCCTTGGAAACTGGTTTATAGTCTGTGAAAATAGCTTCTTTTGTAGATGATAGTGTTATAGCAAAGAAAGAGAGTCATAATTTTAACGGGATTTGATATAAGCATTTTGACTGATTCAGATTCACCAAGAAAATCATATTTTTAAGAAGCAGTGTCTAATTCTAGACTACCTGGAATCTCTTTTTCTTTTGGCAACTTAATAGCCCCCCTGAAATTATACTTTTGAGATTTAGTGAACAATCTCCAAAATAAGCATTTTTCTCCTAGACTCAGCCAGCTCTCTTACTGATTAACCAAGTTTTGGTAGAAAAACAAAATGTGGGTCAGTCAAAAAAGTTAATTCTCCTAATAAGTAAACCAATCCTGCAATCCTTTTGAATAATGTCACAGCATAGTACCCAGGCCACTGCAGTCCTCATCATTGCCATTACCATCATTTTTATTTTATTTTTTGTAAAATGATCTATCAAAAGTTGCCTGCTGTTTTAAAGGCTATTGTGAATCATTGTATTGTATGAAGTAATATTTTTACTAGTCCAATAAAATAAAGTTTAGCAAGAAACAGAAAAAAGAACATTTTCTACCTAACATTGTATTTTATTTACAAAGTCTTTTGGGTTGTTCAAACCTTCTTTTTCCTTTCTCCTGTTGTCCCAGATCATTGTGTGTGTGTGTGTGTGTGTGTGTGTGTGTGTGTGTTCCTTGATTTTGATTCAAAGTGGTTTGCAAATTCAGCCATTGTGGGATATACAATGAATTATTATTTTATAGCATGCCATAAAAAGTGCTCAAATTAAATATGTTTAGGATTTAAACATATAGTCCAAGTTTCCATAATATTTTATCAATCTCTTAAAATGCATACATGTCAATATTTTATTTTTCTGTGCTTTGGAATTTTATTCTGTTCCTAATGAGCTGTTTTTCTTGTACAGAAAAATATTTTTGCCTGACTGCCACAAAGAACTCTAATTTCTGATTTTATCAGGATCTTTTGATCTTGTAATCTTTTTATAAGTGACAATTATAGATAAAACACATACTGTACTGTAGTTTTTAGGACCATTTATTCATTAATTAAACTCCCTGAATGCAATTTACAATTTTATAATTCATGAATACTTACTTCAGGTGAATATTTTAGAATCTTAAGCATAATGCATAGGATTTCCAAGAATATCATGATTCGTAGATTAAAATGTAGGATTCCTTTCACACAATTTATCAATGTAACAAATGAAGAAAATACTTTGTTTTTAAAAAAGGAAGGGTAAAATAAAGGTAGCAGTATAAGCCATCATCTGAAGCAAAAAGGGCCCTCTTACAAGAGCCAGCAAATCCAGTCTTCTAAGGCCTTTAGCATTTTTCTCCTAGACTCAGCCAGCTCTCTTACTGATTAATATTCTAGTTAAATTGGTTAAAGAAATATGTGCCTCTAAGAATAACATAACTAATGACACAGGCTCTGTCTCACACATCTGCGCACACAAACTCCCACTACATTTGTTTTTAAAAATCTGTCTTTTTTTAAAAAAATAAAAGTTATCTCTCGTGAAGTTAAATGCCAACAATACACTTCGGCACTTAGGAAAGGAATAAAATGTTTAATAAAACTTAAGGTCTCTTTTTTGGGAGGGGGTGTGTGCTTTTGAGTGAATGTCAACTCCTGGCAACAGTCTGAATTAGTCCCTGCAGTTTTCTAGCCAAAATTATGGAAGTGGCTTGCCATTGTCTCCTTCAGAGGGCTAAGAGGGATTGACTGGTCCAAGGTCACCCAGCTGGTTTCATACCTAAGGCAGCACTAGAACTCAAAGTTTCCTGCTTTCTAGCCTGGTGCTTTAATCACTGCACTATAATGTCCTGTTGTCATCTAATGGTTAAAAGATGAGGTTTCATAATGCATAGGGTTTCCAAGAATATCATGATTCATAGATTACTAACATCAAATATTTTCAGCGAAAATATTTCATGCAGTGCCGTCATGTGATGTGCTTTATGAGCATATTACTTAGTTACGGTAGTTCTAATCCCAACTGCTGTTTATTTAGGCTTACCTGTAAAAAAACAAGCAAACATACTGGAAGAGCCTTGCTTAATACCTTCAATACTGATTGGTCCCATGCAAAAGAAAAACGATCACAGCCAAATGGCTCAAACAAGATCATTATCCTGTAGTCCACAGAAGTGTATATTATAAATTAGTATTAACCCATCCCCTTAAAACATTTCTCAGAATGCTCATTGTTTACCTGGTGCATCAAAATATTTGATTTCCTGCCAAGAAGAACCCTTAGCTCTTGTATTGACTACCTGTGGTCAGGATGGAAGTCAACAAACTCAGTTCTTGCTCTCTCTCTCAGTCTCCACCCCCCCCCCCCAGTTTATATACAGTAGGGCTGTCAAACTCGTGGCTCATGGGGTAGATGCATCACACATTGGCCATGCCCATGCCCAGTTTAGCAAAGGGGAAAAAATGTCATATGTCACATGACGACGTGACGATGTGAGTTTGACACCCCTGTTATAGAGGAAATATAGCCATCCTGTTCAGACATTTCTCAGGACTTAGCCAAGATACCTATACTGTGTTACAAATCACTTTAACAATGATTTTATGTTTAGATTGCAGATTTAGGGAAATGTGACAAAATATTCAGCCTATTTTAGGCCCTTAGAGCAAGGATTTGTTAAATTCCTTCCATTAAGATTTTGCAGCCAGCAATCCAAAGGAAGCCACCATCAGATGGAAAATTTATAGCAAAATGAAACACTGAAGTTTTCCCCCAAACATTGAAAGTGTACCAAAAGAATATTAAACCCAATGCTAGTTTGAGATTATGTGCTAAGAATATCATTTCATAACAAACTAATAGTCATAAACAAATATATATTGGTTTACTTATTTATTTAAACAATACTATCTTATTCCACACCAAGACAACTAACAATGAGTAATTTTATTTCCATTTTTTCTTTAATATGAGCATGTACTGTTTTTCAAAAAAATAGAAAAACCAAGATGCACCTAAAATAGAAAAAGTATCATGCAAGTAAAGAATTATACAAATATCAGTTATAGTACAATAGTATTGTTTCAAAAGATGTTAACTGAATGCTGATAGAAAAAAACATTTCTAGACATTTAGATGTCACTCAAAAGCATAAAATATTGCATAGTATAAAAGCCCATCATAATTTATATGCAGAAACTGTGACTAGAACTGTGTTATATTAAGTTTTTTATTTTATTTTAATGGAAAGTTACTACACATTCAGCATTTGCTTTTTAAAAAAACAGATGTAGAAAGTAACCACATTATCACAAAATGGTAAACCGGGATTTTTGGTTTATCAGTGGTGTTCATTACTCATAAATGTGAAGAACTTAGTAGGTTTTACTTGCTATAGGGAAAATTTTAAGGCATATTTTGAAAATATTGTATCAATATTCTCACAAGCTCCCTTGTAAGATCTCTGCTCTGTTAACATGGTATTAACATGATCAATGTGATTTATGGATAATACTTTATTTGTGAATACATTTTGCAAATTTGGAACTTATTATGAAATAGTTTTCTTGTGCATGGGATCATTCAAAATCCAACTCTTTGATGTTGGAAAGGTGGTATGACCCCAGATTCACAAACAGATCACCACTATCTATTTGCTGTTTCTGATTTAGCTATTGATGTAATGCAGGGGTGTCAAACTCAATTTCATGGAGGCCCACATCAAGGCTATGGTTGGCCTCGGGGAGAGCAGGCATGGCTGATTGGGTGGGCATGGCCCGCATGACACCGCTCACTGGGCGTGGCTTGCTGGGTGGTCATGTGACTGAGCTGAGATGGCTTGTTACTCCAATCCAAAGAGACAGATAGAGCTGATCGTTTCTTGAGCAGCTTTTCTCAAGCTTGGCCAGTTTAAATTATGTGGACTTCAACTCCCAGAATTCTCCCTACCATGCTGACTGGGGGATTCTGGGAGTTGAAATTGACACAGCTTAAAGTTGCCAAGGTTGGGAAATGCTAGAGTTACAAAATGAACAGGGAGGAGCTCTGTGTGTGAATCAGTTTTATCAGCAAAATATCTGGATACCTGTCATTTTAACCTCGTCTCGCCTTGAGCCTTCCACTTTGTACTTTCACTCCAGAGCCCTAGGCAGTTGAGGGCAAGCACCCAGTCCAGTCCTCGAGCATCGGGATCCCCCAGCCCTGCTTCCCCAAGGGGGCATTCACTTACCTCCTCAAGACTGCTGCTAGTGCCACTGTGGGGCAAGACCAGGTAAGAGGCTGGGTGAAGAGACAATGCTGGACGGCACAGAGACCAGGCCAGGTGTTAAAGACATGAGGCTAGGGACTGAGGTGAGAGGCCCAGTGAAGAGATGAAGAGTTTGTGCATGCGCAGGATAGGCAAAGAGGCTGGGCGGGATCAATCTGCTCGGCAACAGCTGCAGCCTGTTGGCCTCGCCCAGCCTCTTCACTTAGCCTGAGCACGCACAGCCTCTTCATCTCTTCACTGGGCCTCTTACCTCAGTGCCCAGTCTCACCTGATGCTTCATTTTCATAGGTGGGCCTGCTAGAAAGGGATAGACCAAGCCGAAGCCATTTAGGCACGATGGAATAGGCTGGGACGAAATGACGTAGGCCTAATGCTTCGTTTTTGCATGCATGCTTGCTGGGATGGGGTGGGCCAGGCCAAAGCAACATGGCCCAGCCCCTTTCATTTCCCAGGACAGCTCTGCAGGCCAGATCCAACCACATCAAGGGCTGAATCTAACCTGCAGCCCTTGAGTTTGACACCCCTGATGTAATGAAGACTTTCAATATTATTGGATATGGCAGCTGAGAACTACCTGTAATTTATAAAGTTTGTTCGATGCATTTCTGTGCAATCAGACACAAATGCACTAGCAG